AACCCTGCAGTTATATGAAAGGCCTCATTTGCAATCCACAGATAGTGCAGAAATCAAAGAGCTTTGGAAGATGAATGTGAGCAGAAAATGCTAACTCTCTAAGAGACCAACATCCATGCTATGCTTCCACAGTGAAAGAAGCTCTTCAAGTAATTATTTATTATTGTACCCAGGAGTTCCTCATCTTTCAATCAGACTTAGGCATCTCCTAAATAGCTGGTTTTACATGAGAATTCCCAAGCCCTTCCTACATGAAGACTGATGCAAAACAATGAAGGGCTTGGTCCCAAGAGTAGATACTAGCAAACCCCTGTGAGGATCACCTCACAAGCTACTGTACACCACAGTCACCAAGACACCATATATTGGGAGCAGCTGATTACAGGAATTTGCTGCTGGGTGGGAAGCAGCCACCTACAATGCCTGAACTGCTGGGTAAAGAGGCACAATGCCTGTGCTTGGAGCTCCAGGGACCAGAGCCTGGGGAACTCCAATGCCAACTGGCTGAGTTGTCAGAAGCTACAGCCATGGCTGTACAGATGCTGTAAATAAACAGGCTTCTTCTGTTCATCATTTTTTTTAGATAAAAAGACCATCCTAAGAGTCTATCATTCATCCCCGAAATGGGTGAGATTTGTGTATCACCTTGTACATGTGTTCTACTTACATGCCGAATTTAGCAAAGCTGGCTCTAAGGAGGTGGATGTACCAGCAAAGCATGATACTCCAGCTCTCTGTTCCGCCTAAGTACCAGCAGCTACACAAACTGGGACCTAAAAGAAGTAATGCACTTTTTCTCCTGCAAGTAATTTTATTTTTCTAAAGAAATTTCAGTAAAGTTTTACTTCGTCCTATATGGCTGGATATACCTGTGCCACAGTGTCTCCAGAGAATAAAGAGTACAGCGTGTTATTTGGCCACACAGTAAAATGCTTTTGCATGGCGTACGTTTCTCCCCCATCAAACACTACACAGTAGGGTCACACTTCAGTAAGTAGATTTTCAAGGAAATAAAGATGAAAAAGGGAAGAACCCTTAAAGAAAATATTGGTCACATTTTAATTTGCTTTCAAATATTTTCTTTTATTCAGAACAGCAATGACTTGGAGCAATACTCAATTTGTTTTAATATACTGTGAGAAAAAGATTGTCTGCTTTGTCATGCTTGGGTTAGGTGTGTGTCACTGATTTCCTGCTCAGAAGGTATTTTACAAGTGTGCTTGTGGAACTGCATATAAAGAAAGGTGTCACAGTCTAAAAGGTAAGTGTATGCCTTAAGTTCAGAGACTCTCAGCATCTGGAGAGCAGCCTTACTTTATACAGCAGTCTATTCAAGCGTATCAAAATCATTAACTGAAATGCAAATTAAAGCTCTTAGCAGGCTCTATCAAATAATAATAATAAAAAAGCTTTTACTACAACTCCTGTAGATGTTATTTTACAAAGCTTGGTAACACCAAATGAATTCAGGGCAAGATCTTTCTCTTTAAGCAGTCACAAGAAATGCAGCAATACTGAGGTAACATTCTGAGAAATTCTTTGCTCCTCCCTTGCAGAATAAAGACAGATCCTGCTTGCTCTAGGTTTGTATAGTCCTTTGCACACTAGGCCCACAGGTACATCCACACTCCCAGATTCTAGTGCTTCAGCTGCACAGCTCCAGTTACCAAACTGGCATTAAAAATGCTTTTAATTTTGTAGATCAAAAACCTAATGTAATAACTATGCAAAAAGACTTAGAATCTCCAGCAAAGGTATGGTTTGCATTGCAGCTTTCTGACTTAAATGAAGATAACCACTTTAAAGCACTACCCTCCCTTCTTTGAGAACTCTGCTTAGAAGTTACCTCCTGAAACTGCCCTTCACCTCAACAAAGAGCTGTCATCATTTCATTGAAAGCCAAAACTAACTCAGTTGTTTCTGTTTTTCAGGATTGCCAAGTTTATAGCATCTGAGCATCTTGGATAAAGTTCCCAAAACCCACCTTCCCCAGATAACCATAGCATGATGTGTACTTGTTCCTCCACACTACAACTGATGGGGGACAGCCTGATCCAGCAGTTAAACCTAACAGGCATCAAATGACACATGAGGAGGAACGAAGCTGGCTGTTAGCAGAAGTGTCTCTTTCATTCTGGTACCACAGGTACCAGAAGAAAGGGCACCACGCCCCTACTCCCCAAGTCTGTGACAGAGGGCAAGGAACAGCTGATGTAACTTTTTCGTACTTCTCCAGCCTCTTTCCCTTCATTTTCACAGTGGGGTCTGAGCAGAGGTAGCATCTGTCTGCCCTGGATTTCCACCTATTGTAGAAAGAAATTGACTTGTTCCAGTAAGTTATCATCTGGACTCTGATTTATTTTCTATGAAGAGTATTACCTGGATCTTCACAAATCCCAGATTTGTATCTTAGTCAAAATCACTAGCTCCCAGCCAAAGCAATGGATCCAATGGGTAGAGAAACTGCCAGCATTATATTTTTAAGCAACTGACCTGGGCACTTCTCATTATGTATGTTAATATCAATGTACGTGGTGCTGAACTATGCCACCTCCTGGTTTTTCAAATCCTATCCCGGTCAGTTCCCTTGACAGAATAACAAACAGTAAAAGAAGGTCATTGGCAGCATATCCTCCATCCACTTTATGTGGGCTAAGGGACCTAAAATACTGAGTAACAATTATAAAAGATACTATACTGAAACATCTGAAAATAATGCTCAGTTGCAAAAGAATTTTCACCAACCAAGATTTCCCTCCATCTATTCTGTTTCACTCGAGCAGCAGGCAGCCTGATTCTCTTTTTCTTCCAAAATGATCACTTTCCTAACATACCTTCTAATACCAAGGTTAGTCCATCTATTTAAAGCAAGTATAAATCAAAACATTGTCTCAGGAAAAAAGGTATTATTAAAATTTGCACGAAGAAAATCACACACTTCAGAAGATATATGGGAAAGATCCTATTAGGTCACTCCTAAAGCTGACAGACATACATATAGAGAAATGAGTGTTCCTTATCTTGTGAAGCAGACCTGGGCTAACCCTCATCCATCCGTGTCGGTATTTCATGTTCAAGTTTCCAGGGTACTATGTTTCTAGCAGGTAAGGATAAAGTTTACTATTATACTGAACAAATAATCACACCATTTATTCTACAGATTCTTTAGTTACTCTACCTAGGAGATTCTGCTTGATACTACAGCAACTTTGATTAAAATAATCCCAAATTGATATGCACATTCAAGTTATTTAAGTGCCTGGTATACAAATACATCATAGCTTGAATTCACAAACAAGTTATATTGGTGCCAAAATTAAATTATTCAATTTACAAATTAGAATGAGAATTACAGTTTGTATAGAGGGCAAAGTTTGTAGACAGAAATAATGTCTCCTAATATCAAAGCTGACTACAGAAAATCTGCAAGTAGCACTCAGTGCAAATGTCCCTCTTTGGAGGAACTCTGAATGTAATTTTTTTCCTTCTTTGAAGGTGCTTGGCATTTAATTTTGACTTCACTATTTCAGTAACTCTAGGAAGACTGACTTTTTGAATAAAGATATCCAGTCACTAACTGATGTGGGGGAGCAAGGTACAAGCTGGATCAGTAGAAAGGTTTTCTTTCTTTGTACTGAAGGACCAGGAAAAGTGTTTCAGAATGCCACAAAACCATGGTCTCGTTTATGAGATGGTTGAACCTAGCTGACCACAGTTCCGGTAGCTCACTGCATCCTACCTGCACAGAACAATCTCCTTATGCAAGGTTTAACAAATGTCCATGCTTCTCCATTTTCAATGCCGCAGAGTTTACATACATTCATGTGCTAATACCAAACCTTCTGCTGTATTCAGGAATGGAACCAGGTGTTGCAGTGTGATGAGCTTGTCCAGTCTCCACTGAGAATACTGTATCTTTAAGCAGATAATTACAGAAGACAAATAAAACATTCCAGGGACCTCCTTTGGTAGTTTGTGCCAAATATCAGAACATCAAGCTTACCAAGGAGAAAAAAAAAATGTTAACAATTCCATGGACACATGAAAACATCCTTATGAGTGAATGTTGACACAATTAATCTTTCAATGTGCTTCTAATTAGAAAGCATGTTAAGGCTTCCAAAGCAACTTCCACCTTAAAAATACAATAGCAGAAGGTCACTGGATTCCAAACATTCTTTATTTTATATTTGCTGCCATAGAAAGCAACCAAACAGCACTGTTATCAGTGTTACTGGTGAAAAAGAACATGGGGCTTCTTTCTCCTGAAGATGTGATCTACGTTAAGAAGTCAGTCCAAAATCCTGATATTAAGTACAAAAAGCAACTGCTTGAATTATAAAATACTGTATATACAGATATAAAAATGTTTCAGAAAGTGTTCCACAAAGTTTCTAAACTTTCAAGAGCAAATCTTCAGCAGGGTAAATAGGTTGTTGTCTTCAAAGATGAAAGTTCATGGGAGCAGAAGGTCTGAATCTTTTTCTTCCTATATGACAGATGACACAGGCTCTGATTTTATCCCAGCCAGACATAAAATGATAATCCTAGTGATTAAGGTGTTTTTTCCTGGAGCTATTAATTTAACAAGTACACTCTCTCTCTATAAAAATGAAATTTCAAAGAAATTTATACAACAGCTAAACTTTATAAAAATATAGATCTATAATTTTACACCAGGAATTATGCAAGGCAAATTTCCATTTTTTAGAAATTATTTTTTATCCCTTGGAATCTTATCTATGGCTAGAGTGTAAACTAAAACAATGTGAAGTCATTAGCTGGTGAAGAAAGTTTCAAGAATCCCATTTTGTAGCATTTTTTTAGCCAAAATTAACAAATCGCTGCACTCTGCAGGGCTCAGCTTCTTGGTACTGGATATATTACACAGTATATATCTATTTATTCCAGAATCTTGACCCAAGTAAAATACATCTCCATTGTTCTTACTGGAGGAAAAAAAAAACAACCCAAACCCAAATAAATAAAATTAGACAATATTTCTGTTTTGCTGTACTGCGTTAACTCTTTACTGTGCAGTGGAGGCAATAACAAAGAATACAGCCAGTGATGAAGGAATGTAAAACTGAATACATACTGGAAAAAAAAAAAAACACCACTTTTATAGCTGTGTGTATATATATTTTTTATATATATATCTATATATATCTACATTGCAGTTATAACTGTCACCTCACAAAAGAGATTCAATGGACTGAACAATCATCTAGAAACTTCACCAGCTGAAGTTCTTCAGGAAGAACTGGCTTTCAGCTTGGACAGCAGTATTTCATTCTTACGGCATTCCTGTTAACAGAAATCAAGCAGATAAGGTGGCAGTCGCTCTTTATTAGATACGTCTTCACATCAGCAAAACTAAACCCTTTTATTTTGAGTGATCTCCAAGTAGTCTGGAGTGAGTGATGAGCTGAAAATAATTCTGATTCATCCATAATGGTATTCAAATGGTAATATTCATTAAACTTTCATTCATTAAACATTTATTAGACATTCAAGCCAAAAGGAATGCTACTTTTCCATTCATCTGAAGCTTACAGAACCATAGAATGGTTTGGGTTGGAAGGGACCTTAAAGACCATCTAGTTCCAAACCCCTGCCATGGGCACAGACACCTTCCAGTAGACCAGGCTGCTCAAAGCCCTGTCCAGCCTGGCCTTGAGCACTGCCAGGGATGGGGCAGCCACAGGTTCTCTGGACAACCTGTGCCAGGGCCTCACCACCCTCATGGTAAAGTTGTTACAAGCAACTACAGCAAATCAAATACATCTGAAACCAAGATTACTTTTAGCTGACCTGGAACATCACAAGACAGTTTGCAAAAACGTCAGTGTTAAGGGCACAATTCTGGGTCAAGAAATATATTTACATAGTACATGCCACCTGGTTTCAATACCACAACCGCAATTTCATTTATTTTTAAGGATAGCAAGGTTGAGTAGAAGTTACTTCACAAGGCAGCAGAAGAAAAACCAATTACTAAAAAAAAAATAAGAAAAAAAAAAACACAACCAACCAACCAACAAAAAAAAAAAAAACAAAAATCCACCTAACTTCTGCAACTACAATGTAAAATTCTGTATGTCAGAAAAGCTGAATATTAGCTGAACAGTACCTATGCCCTAGAGTGTATCATCCAAAACAGGAAGGAACTGTCTCAGCACAAAGCAGGACAAATGACAGGAAGATGTTTTTCCTCAAAAAGCTGAAGCCAAATGACTGTTTTGCTTGGCAGCACTACTTTGTCATTCATTATCATGGAGACAATAATTAAGAGAAACACATTATGATTAAAAGCTTGGAAAAGGCTAAATTAACAAAGTGTTAAACATGGCTTTCACAGTGGTTAGAAAACAAGGCCAATTCCTAAAGGCATTTATAACCACTGAGACTCTGGATTCCCTCCCTTATTCACATGCATTTCCACAACCCTCTTTGCTCCAATACCTAACTGCCCGTAGATCTTCAAGAGATTCCATTTGGAAACCTAAATATACAGCTTACTTTATAACAAATGTTCCTTCCCCTGTAACATGGAGGAGTAGGCTAATCTATCAATGAAAAAAAGAATTTCCAGAATCAAATTCAAGAGTCCAAGAAGGATGTGGAGATAACCACCAAGAGGCATCGTGAACATGGTGCAGTAAGCATCGTATCAGGGAATCTTGTGCATATATTAATGCACAAGTCAAGCCAAAAATGGGTCACTGAACACTTGACAGTTTACTTTAGCAAAAATGTTCTTACCTCTTTAAATTCTTTCACTGTTTTAAAGTAAAGCCTCTGTTTCTCTAGAAGCTCTAAATATTCATCATTCAATTGGTCTCTTCGCATTTTGTTTTCTTGTTTCTTCTTTTCCATCTGTTGATACACAGGACAGGTAAGAGATCATTATATACATTGTATAAGGAATATACACACATATATATACTATATAAGGAACAATTATCTATGTTAGACAATGGGAGACAGATGCTTCATAAGTGATAACCCTGGCTTGTGCTTTAAATGGAATGAACATTTAGGCCAGCTTTTAAATTAAAAAGCTAACACTGAAGTCTCAGTACCAGTTGTACTAGTGGTAGTATTCACAGTTAAACTACAGCTCGCATCTCTGCAAGCCAGGAATCCTGCTCACTGAACAAGCCTATTGGCAACGATGACACAGCGAAATTATTAACAAAACCTCCGAAACAACACAATTAAAAATAAATAAATAAATAAATTCCTGATGCAACACAGATCTTGTTTTGGTTGTCTGTTAGTTGTATCAAACGGGGAGGGCAGGAGACATCTTTGCCTTCCTATGCAATGCTGTTCCTGCTCAAGACCCACACATAAGAAAACTCTTTTCTTTTTTCTGTGTGCCAAAGTTGTGACAAACACAACTTCAGTCCCTAAATGTGAAGGGGATTGGTTCTTATTCTAGAATAGACTGCCTTCTCTCGGGGATAGTTCTAATGAAGTTCTTCCATAACAGCATCACAGGCAAGTTTGGTGCTTGTCTGGAGAGTAAATTTTCCCTCCTTCCAGTCCTAAGGCACAAGCACATAAAAAAGAGCCCTGCTGTATTCCTCTCCCCAAAAATTATTTTTGCATACTCTGACAAGCTTTCACCTCCTAAATTTTGATAGGAAAAATGCAATTCTAAAACCTGCAAGAATTCCCTAAAGCCCAAACAAGCATGTAATTACACAGCACCAGAACTTGCTGCATTTCTAGATTTACACATCAACATTGATCTTATTGATATGGCTAAAAGAAATGAGCAGATCCCAAACTTTCTCTGCGTATGAACACTGCTGACAAGGTATGTCTACTTTACAAAGCCAGCTGCTGTCCAAAAGATATGTACTCTCTCCTAACATAACCTATCAGGGCCAGTATGTTTTTAAAGTTATGCTTGAGGAAGAAGCAGCATCACATGTGTTAATGCAGAAAAAGGTATTATCATGTGCATCCCATCCTTGAGGACGAGGCTAAAACCAACAGTGCTGGAACACCTAGGACCTAGATTTTGTTTACAGATAAGGCCCTATTACTATCCTTTGATAAATTGCTTCTTTTATGCATGACTATCACACCTCCCAACATACTCCTCATAAAGGAAACTGTCCTACTCTGTCCTCAGCAAGTCTTACGAGTATCTGTTATCACACTGACATGCTTGTTCACAAATTCCTTGTCCTTGGTAGCAAGTATGTTTGATTTCTCCTTAGCCCTCTATCCTGGGTTCAGCAGTAGCAGTCATTTTTCTCTTTCTCAGTACCTGGTGCAGCGCTGTGTTTTTGACTTTCAGCCTGGGAACAGCGCGGATAACACCAATGTTTTTAGTTGCTGCTCAGTAATGTTTACTCTGACCAAGGCCTTTCTGAGTCTCATGCTCTGCCAGGGAGGAGGGGAAGCCGGGAGGAAGCAGGGACAGGACACCTGACCCAAACTAACCACAGCATGTCATGCCCAGGATGTAAACTGCGGGCAGTTACCCAGAAGTTCTAGTTCACTGCTCAGTCGGGCTGGGTATCGGTTGGCAGATGGTGAGGTGTTGTATTCTCTTCCCTTGTTATTTCCTTTATCATTATTATTATTGGTGGCAGCAGCAGTGATTTGTGTTATACCTTAGTTACTGGACTGCTCTTATCTCAACCTGTGGGAGTTACATTCTTTCGATTCTTCCCCCCATCCCTTTGGGAGTTGGGGGGGCAAGGGGGGAGTGAGAGAGAGACTGCGTGGTTCTGAGTTACAGCTGGGCTTAAACTACAACAGCCTCTTTTATGATGCAATTACGTATTATGGGCTTTGCAAACTGAAATTTCAGGTAGAAGGTGTAAGGGTTTCAGAGCTGTACAGAAAACAAGGTGGATGTACTGTGAGCACTCTGAATGCACAGCAGATAAAAGTCGAATAGGTAGGACTAAACCATGATGGAGATGAATAACCCTTGCAGTGCACAACTAGCCTGTCTATTGAAAAAATCCTCCAACAGCCTAGGCGAAGAATAAGAAAACCATCCCTTCTGCTGTAGAGCTGTTCCCCAAGGAATCATGTGAATTGTTAACATTTTTTGAGCATCCGTTTGTTGTCAGTAATTTCACTGAGAAATCAACATCAGAAGGTAGTGAATGATTACCTACTCCATCACTAACAATTTTTTTTTTCCCCTCAATCGAGATAAGCTTAGCTTTTTCATTCAGCAAATGCTTTTCTCCATTAGCTGTCACTGCCACCTCCTGCTAACCCAAATACCTGCACCTAGGAATGAAATGTCACTTTTGACCTCTCACAATATGCCAGTGGCTAAACTGCCAGTGCAGGAATGAGGCACAAGTGAAGTGAGCTGCCACAGCTTTCAGCAACCATCAGAGATGCTGAAATTGTATTCCCCACCCCCCCCAAATAATGAGCCATCCGACATGATAGCTCTCATTCATTTCCCTCTCCCTTATCTGTACAAGCAGATTTCTTATTTGATATATTAATATATTTGAGAATATATTAAGAGAGTCCAGAATGATTGCATGGACTTGAAAAGATTGAAGAGTTCAACTGCAAGAACATGAAGTCAGTCACAGCAGACCTCTCAGTCTGCTGTCACTCCTTACACTTGCTTGGCTGTTATACATTTCTCTGCATGTAACGAAGACAAGACAGAAGACAAAATACTGGACAGTTTCAATTTGGAGCAGCTGCTTGCTGCAGCCATTAAAATAACGTCATTCTTCCAAAACAAAGATGTATAAGCATCTGACAGTGAAGCTCATCTTCACTAGTCAGAACTGCACCGTTCTATTTTCATAATCTCAGTTTGATGCCAAGCCAGTCATTACGTTAACAGCACTGAAGATAGAAAGATGATCCACACATACAACCACCAGTATCACTACCCTTTTTGCTGTCATTTTGTCCTCTCTGAAAATAAGAGGTCAAGCAAATAAAAATAATTCACTGCAAAAAAATGGCAATGAACTAGACACTTTTCAAACACAGCGGTCTATAGTGAACATCATATATTTTTAGAGTAGAGTTTATTAGTGCAAAAGCTTTATTAAAGCTTGAGCTGCACCCCATTCTATTTTTTTCTACATACAAATGCTTACCGTACTTGGTACCTGAAATTTTTGTTTAGCTGTTGAGATAAAACAGCCCAATACCTGTACAGACTGCACTTTCAGTACATACTCTATATTGATTCACAGTCTATCATACTTTCATTTGAACTCAAATAAAGAACAGCTATAATCCACTACCAAGAATCTTGTGGCTCTACAGAGAAAAGAAACTCAGACCCCTTTTATGTGACTTCGGAAAATATCAATATATTTGATTATGAAAATAAAAGAGTAAAACAACACAATCACAAAATCATAGAATAGTTTGTGTTGGAAGGGACCTTCAAAGATCATCTAGCCCAACCCCCTTGCAATGAGCAGGGACATCTTCAACTAGATCAGGTTGCCCAGAATCATACCCTCAAGTTAGTAACTATCATTACCAAGAAGTACTGAGCCAATTCATTGTATGCAAATAAGCCTGTGGACAGCTTTACTTGGAGCTGGACCTCATGCCTGCATTGCCCCAAGCAACAACACAAGTCCACTGAGGCTGTGCTTTTACAAAATAGCTCCCAAATGTTACCAAAGGCAGTTTTGCCATCTCTGAGTGAGCACTGGGCCTCTGCTCCCACACAAACACCTTTCACTTGCTATATGAACACCACACACATGCTAAGCCTTTTCTAAATCAGGTTAAAAACAATAAAAAACATAAAACCAACAACAACAATGAAAAACACACACCAAAAACCACCTGAGTGGATTCAACAAGGTGTCAGATGAGTGCTGCAACTGGCACAAAGCAAGCTGATGGCTGGGACTCTTGTGAGGTGCTGCTGACCCTCTTCAGCAGCAGCAAGCAGCTTCAATCAGCTCCACCTGCCTGGGGAACCATACCTGAGACACAGGTCTGACTGTCCCCATGAAATCCAAATGGAAGAATTCTCATTGACTTCAGTGACATTTCAAGCATCTAAATCACTACACTGACAATAATGAAGCTCCCTGTCAGGAGAGAAACGTTATGATACCTCTGCTCTATTCTAGTCAGTAACATTTTAGTGGTGAGAAGTTTCTTATGAATGTGAAAAGAAATACTACTTGTTATTTGCTTGCTTAATTTGCAGCTCTCATAATGGACTTCTCCATGCACAGGTATCCAAGAGGCTTTTCTGAAATAATTCCCAGGTTCTAGCATAGAAAGTGTGAAGAGTTTCTGACCTTCATTCGATTCTGTTTGATGCCTTCTACAATCTGCTCCATCTGCCGTAAAAACTGGTCCCGAGAACCAGAAGATGACATTGCTCTGGAGAGAAAAAAAACCAAAAAAGGTAACAACTGACAGGGATGTGGGACGTGTCTCACCTACAGTTGTCTTATGCATTTACCCATGTCCAAGAATTCACACCGCTTAGTGTTCTATGTAAAAATTTCATCTTTTTAATCACTGATTTTGGATAGCACTGCAGCTCTTCAGCTGGTATTAACTATCAAAGAGATGGAAAGGGAGATTTTAGAGCTCATCACAAGTCCTGTCAGTTCAAATCTGTTCCTTTCCCTCGTGTTGTACAGAAATAAATTGCTATTAGCTAACCAAAATCACAAGCTTTTAAAACCAGCTGTTGTGAATATTAAGGGGTGTAGAGGACTAGAAGATAGGGAAATATTCTAAAACAAAAAATACTTTCATGCCCTAACAGGGAAAGCCCAGAAGTAATTTTACTTGTAACATCTCTCAAACAGGCTAAAAATAATGAAAGAAAATACAATGCCCACATACCCACCCACCCAACAAAAAATCCAAACCCCAGGTGTCAATTACAGTATCTGTTTCTTCTGCCTGGACAGAATCAAAAGGATCTCATCACTGAGCAACACAGATCTACAATCCTTGCTGCAAAGCTCTGAAATACTTAATTCCCAGGTTTTCTTGTAATTAAAAGTTTTGCACATTACAATCAAGAAAAAAAAATTAAAATCAAAAATTCTGACTAAACACAGAAGGAAGCAGTTGGATAGAAGCAAGTAAAGAGATAATTACTCTGGGGAAAACAAAACAAAAAACCAAGCACCAACAAAAAAGAAGCTTAGAATTTCACAACAGAATTACAAAACGATGTAACAGGAAGATTTGTTTAAAACTATTAAATGGGCATCCCCTCCCCCATGACTCTCCCCAAAAATTCATACTGGATTTTTTTTTTAAGTCAAAATCCCCCAGAGAAAAATAAACAGTGGCTGCATTGCAGACTGATATTTGAGCTCAAACTTCCAAGGAAACCACAATTTTACCTAAAGACTTCACACTACATTAAAACCTTTAAATGCAGAATTAGTTTACAAGAAATATGTCTAAAAATATATCTGAGTCTAATGCTTTGTACGTAATGTAATATCCACAACTTCACAAATAGAGAAAAATACTTAGATTAATGCCAGGAAAATTACTAGCACATGATTTCTTTCCACAACTGCAACTGAAGAGACAGATATTAAAAACATATCTTGGCTATAAAAGTTAGGTAATTCCAAGTCCATGATTCCCCAAACGTTGGCTTAAACAGTATTAAGCTATATAGCTATTTTATAAACTAGTTTATAAAAACTTCTAACAAATTTTTTGTCTCTACAACTCATGCCCACTCCCATTTTTCCAAACCAGCCGTACGACTCATCGCAACTATCAAGAGAAAAAGAACCATTACTTACTGATGAAAGTTGTCATGAATAGAATTCAGTAAGTTAACCTGTGAATTAGAAGAAGAATTTGTCCTTTCTGGCATGACTTTTCATGGACAATAGAATGAAATTTAGTTAAAAAAATTGACTACATATATATTCCCCAGACAAGAAGACAGCTGTATGAAAATCACCATAAGGTTACTTTCAGCACAGAAACCACAAGACCATGTCAACCAAGACTCCCCATGTCACCCCACCAAACCACCACAACAAGGAGTAACTCCCCACTGCCCAAAAGTAACTCAAATTGTATTTAACAGTACTGAAGATGCTAGCTTTGAAGCTATTAGCAGCACAGCTGCGTCAAGAAGCTGCAACTTAGGTCATCAGCCTATAACATGAGGAAAAAAACCCAACAAACAAAAAAAACCTCAACAGAAAAAACCCCACAAACTTATTAGTGCTTGTGAGACTGGAACAGTGTCTCCACACACTACCCTAAAGACTCACCAAGTTCTGCAGGAACAGGAGGTGAATTCCTGCACTGCTTTCATTATGCTGATGAGTTTTACAGGTTTCCACAAACAGCCATGTATCATTAGTTACTTTCCTTATATGCATTTTACAGGCTGTTAAAAGACTAAATTCTAGCAAGTACAGAATGGCATTTTGCATACATGGCTTCTCTTATACTAACACTGCACTGAATCAAGACAGAAACAGAAATTTGTAACAGGCATAAGGTACATTTTGTTGGTCTCAGTATAAACTCACCGACCTAATTAAACTATAAGTACAATATGGAACCACCTTTGATTTTTTTTCTTGCTTTATCTATATTGCTGAGAGGACTAAAATTCACCAAGTAGCAATTAATGTGATTCTCTCTTGGCTTTGAATATTTCTTGCAAGTCCCCTGTGGTTAAACTTTCCAAGCAGTTTCTCCCTTTGATGAATATTTTAAAGTGTTCTGTACTAAACAAACCAGAGCTCTGCAATCAGAATAACTTGCTCCACTGCTATGGAAAGCTAAATTGATCTCTCTCAAATCAAAATCTCTCTTGCATCTGAATGAGACAGCAGTAAGCATGTGCATGGCAGAAACTGCAGTTCTTCCTGACCTTATCTTGACAAATTCCAACAGAAATTCTGAACAGACTCCAAAGCAGCCAAAATGCTTAAAAATTCATGTTACTTAGAAGAAATAAATTATTGCATGACTCATCAATATTTGCCAAGTCCACACCCCTGCCTCAAGATACTTCCAATAAGTATGTTTAAGAATATAGTTTATACAGCAAAAAATTTAAGTCATGAAAAGTAACACTGCACAGCTATTGCACAGTAAGAGTGCTGATGTGTTATATTAGACAGTAAGATCAGTATATAAACCCCAAGTCAAAGACATTATGAAAAAAAAGTTTAAAAGCATTTGAAAAAATTAATCACAAAATATGATTAAAATATGAAGCATACTCAAGAGACCTTTCATGTCAGAACTAACCTTTGTAGCCAAAATTTCACTGTGTAACAGTTGCTACTATTGTTATTTTAAAGCAATTATGCTCAGAGTATTTTATGAAAGGGTTGGGTTGGTTTGCGAGGAGAAAGGGGAAAAAAAAACAACCCACAAACCAACAACAAAACAAGACAAGAAAAAGCACAAGCATATTCCAGAAATCTCTGTGAGGCGCTCATGCCAAAGGTATCTTTTTTACATTACTAGACTATATTTACTTGCTGAAACCTTGTTCTAATATTGAAAACAAAACAAGGGAACTTCCACTATATTCTACATTTAAAAAAAGGTTGCATCAGAAGACATTCAGAAATCTCTCTTGTGACTGACATCATGCTAAAATACTCTTATTTGTCTTTTGAAACTATATTCATGTAAGTAAAGCCTGGAACTGGGGAAAACGCAAACACCCCCTACTCCCAAGACACTGAATTGTATTTGCAAGAATACTCCCAACTTATACAACAATTAAATATATCTGCTCTTTATTCTGTTCAGTTTTTTATGTGCCATTACAAGAACAATCTTTGTATGCTTTTTAAATTTGCAAGCTTGCCCTCAAAAAAAAAAAAAAAATCTGCATGAAACTAACCTCGGGGAGAAGTTAAAGAAAGATGAATTTAATAGCTGCTACTCAATGTAGTATTTTAAATCTGGTACATTGTTACCTGCAACTTGCTCTACTACGAATACATTTCACTATTTGGAATAAGAAAATAAAATCAATGAAAGACCACAGGAAAACAAAGCATGTGATAATCCTCTTACAGACTTAGGTAAGGCATTTGCTAGGACTCCTGGCAGCCATTATACAACCCACTCTTGCACAGGGATGAGACACTGGAACAGGTTGCCCAGAGAAGCTGTGGCTGCCCCATCCCTGGAAGCGTTCAAGGTCAGGTTGGATGGGGTCCCTAGCAACCTGGCTGAGTGGAAGGTGTCCCTGCATGAGGCAAGGGGGTTAGAACTAGATGATCGTTAAGGTCCCTTCCAACCCAAACCATTCTATGATTCTAAGTATCAAAACATTATATATCTTACAAGTAATGTCATAATTCTTAGTAAGCTCTGCTTGTCATTAAAAAAAAACACAAAAATCGAGATCACTTAATTAAGTCACCCCCCAAGAAGGGAGGAGAAAAAAAACAAACCTACATTGCTTTCATGGAAACTACTCTTCTGATCCCAATCCAGTAGAATCACCAGCAACTTCAGTGTAGTCAAGGCTCAGACCCTGAAAACTAACTCTGATGTTGCTGACAACAGCTGGAATTTGCTCTCCAAAAGCTACTGGCTTTTCACTGGTTCACAATAAGAGATATTGACCAAATAGACAAAAGAAAAAAAAAAAAAAAGAAGAGGGTAATTTGGTCCTGTAATACCAAGACAGAGATATTTGCTAATCAAATATTACTAATGTTTTGTGAATGCAGCGAGTAGTTTAAACATGCTGTTCTAATAGCACTTACTTTACAGCACAGACCATTTCCCCCTCAATGTCAGAAATATTCTTACAAGTGAGTTGTTTCATTTTTACTTAGACTGTTAACTCTGCTCTGCCACAATTGAATGTGGTGAAAGCCAAGTAGAAACTCCATCTCCTTCTCCACAGACTGAATATTTAGGAAACAGTGATTAACATTTTCTTACCTCCTTTTCCAAATATACTTTTTTATCATCCAGTGTATTATAAAGAGTAAAGAACTGCTTCGTTTCTTTGTGTGTTGCTGAGACTGCAAACAAAACAAAAAAAAAAAGGTAGAATAATAAAAGAGCATGAGGTGAAATGAAATCTGTAAAAATACTTTGTCAGCTTTACATAACATACTTTCCACTATCAATAATGACACACTTTAATACATCCTGGAAGGATATTCCCTCTGCATTTAAATCTCCAGCAGGGTTTGCAGCTATCAGATTTTATGAGAACACCACAGCTCAGTGTTTAAATTAAGCCTCAACTGCTGACAGAATATATGTTGGCGCTACCAGCTGTGCTTTCTTGACACTTGTCTGTTCACCCTTCTTTCATAAGCTTTACCCTTATAGCATACAGCCCGTCGTGCTGCCAACAGTTGCCCGTGCATAGCTTTTCCATTGTGGTGGAGAGGCACAGGCATAGGCTCAGCAGGGACAGATAGGAAACATAATCTGACAGCACTGTGTGGAAAAAAAGTGCATTCTATTATATATTTCAAGTTAATCATGTGCAAGATGCCCAAGAAAGCTCTTATGCTTTAAGGCCTTCTCTTCTTACAATTTAGAATTAATAATGCTTTCTTTTCAAATACTTTCTGGCTTAGGTGATTATAGCAGATGGTTGGTCAGAGCTTAGTGGGGAAGGTAAAGCTCCCTTTGGGCCTACAAGATGATGACCGATACTCAGATATGCAAAGTGTTCACCTATTTTTTGGTTCTTCAGTGCCTAAGGAGACCTAAAGTATTCATGATTCCCAAGGGAAGAGTTCAACAGAGAAGGAGAGTTGGCAAAAACTGTTATGGCTAATATATTAAGCACTGCGTAGAATCCTAAACCTGGAAAAAAGGTATGGGTTAAAAAAGATATACCTGAGTGAAACCATGCTTGTTACATTAAACTCTGAAGGATAACAAGTTCCCATCTTTAGATAAAACCTTTACTGAACTGATATGCTAGACTAAGCTTCTGAATGGAAGCATTTAGAGACAGCATGACCTCCCCTCCCACATCACATCATCACTGAACATACAAATTTTGTAAGAAATACCAACTTCTGATTTGAACAATTCTGTTCTCCAGCTGAAGCCCAACAGCAACCCACAGCTCAAAGCTGAATGTTTTAGTGACTGCTGCTTCTGCAGTAATGAGATGCTGGGAACCAAAGAGCTTTCTCACTGCTACAGTATGATTGTGACACATGTTCTACACATGCTGTAGCCTCAAGAAACATACTGAGTACTGGGAGCCTGAGAGCACTGAAGAATTCAGGGAAGCCTGGAATAGGCTGACAAATTAGTAAGGGCTGTTCAGCATTTTCCACACAGATTTTCCAAATGCTGAAATAAAGCTACTTTTTGAAGAACTGCATGAATACAAAGATCTCCAACAGGCTTACTTCTGGTGTGCTCTATTAGTTTGGTTTTTGCAGGACTGGAAGATACATTTCCCTAACCATTTCCTTCTTGCAGCTCTTCACTTTCTGGCAGCAGCTCTGGCAGTCACACATCTTTTGTGAGTGGATTCCACATACCAACTCAGCAGAAAACTAAGACTTCCACTGGGTTAGAAAGTTGTACCATTTCTTAGAGCCTTGCGGGCATACACCAGAGCCCACATAAGGTAAGACAGGCAAAGCAGGAAGAGGAAAAAGGAGCCATTTGGCTCACTGATTCTCTTGAAACCACAGCTTAATGTTCTCAAGGAAAGAGGTTCAGTTAGGTCAAAAACTAAGCACGAAATTCTAGTACAGAATCACAGAATCACTAAGACTGGAAGGAATTGCTGAAGCCTGCCAACACCCCTTAGATCAAAGTTCAAAAGTACCAGGTTTTGGCAACTCCAAATATCACTTGAATCTGGCTGAATGAAAAGCCTCTAAAAAATGCAATTCATAGGCAGACTTTCTAGAGGTTTTCAGATCATTTTCCAAAAGCTTAGCTTGCACAATGCAAGTTCCTGGCTACAACTGAGCAGTGTGCTATAAGTACACATATTTTGTACTATAGAAAACAAAGCCCCATAAAATTCAAAGCATCTTAGATCTACAAAGCTTCCTAATTCTCTTCAATCTTAATCTTTCTTTACTTCATATACAAATGAAGCCCCCATCTTCCAAGCAGGCAGATGCTCTGAGCATAGATTATTTGTCTGAAGTCACCTTGACATGACAGAGAAAACAATCTAGAGAAAATTTAATGCAAGACAAAGTTGTCTTTATAGTTGGACTTGAATAAATAAACTGCACATACATAAGAAGCAAAGTGGGGGGAAGGAAGTACTGGATTTGTACTCACTAAAGAAGTACATCTATTCCATGCACTGAATCAGGTAACACATGGAAGATACCACATGATTATGTCACCGGAGATGCTTCATCAGGGCAAAGGATTTGCATCAAAGTTAGATAAAAATTTCAGAACTGCTCAACCTTCAAGAGCTTGGTTCACACACACATTTAATAAGTGCAAAATATCTTTAGAACACTAGCTAGTTCTTCTTGATAGAAACTTATTTTAGCTTATGCTAATACAAAAGCTACATCAAATACAGACCACTAAATATACCGGTCTATTATCAACTTAATGGAGTAACTTCAAAATTTTATTCAGTTTGTATGTTCCATACCATCTTTGCACAGCAAGTGCACAGCATACACACACCTATGAAAAAATTCAACTGAGCACATTTACCGGGTTTGTAACATCTTATCATAAAAAAAGTTACAGACAATTTGTAGTCTAATCCTACCAAGATGTTGCAGGATATTTATTTTGACATAGTTTGCTTCAGAACCAGATATCTCATGTCAGTGAAAACAACGCAAGCAATCTAATGTTAAGAGCAATTCATTAAACACACCTCAAATTTACTGCAACCTCATTTGTACACGGTGAATTAAAGACTTTCTGAAAAAACATTATCCAAAATGACTGAACCCGTTGCAGACAAAATTTACTCCAGAGATCCTGTGCATCAAATTTCACGCTCAATAAAATTCTTCTAGCCAGTTTTTAAAACCTTGAAAATAGGGTATATAACATGAATATCAAAAGGTCCTTAAGAGATCACAAAGTTAGCAAGTGCTGTTGTTATGTGCTATATGCGTAAAAATGCAATTGCCCTCCTTTCAGGGCTTTAGCTTTCAGCAGAATGTTCCTGCTAGATATACATACCCTGACTGTAAAGTTCAATAAATCTCTTCTGATACTGTGTTAGCTCAGCTCGGCTGGGTACTTCATCAATCTTGCGCTGCAAAATGGCTATTTCTCTGTTTCTTCTTGCCTGAATAGAAAGTTAGGAGGGGAGAAAACAAAGCCTATTCTTGTTCTCTTCTTAAAATGGATGAAGCCCCCCCAGCAATATTTTGTTACTAAATAGTTAATTAAAAAAAGCATTGGCTGAGGCTCAATTTCTTTCGTAATTGATTTGTGAAAGAAAAAATTTAAAAAAAAAAGAAAAACCCCAACAAAAAGTAGTATTAGAAGTTACAAGGTAAGAAAATGTCAATAATTTTGTACAAGTAAATTTATGAAGAGTTACTCACCAGTAACAGACGGATCTTTTGGAGCTTATCTTTCTCAGTTTTGTACTGCTGTTCTATAATCTTATTCGGCTCCTAGAATTTAAGAACCCAAAACAATTGTGAATTACAGTAGCATGAGAGCTGCAGTGCAAAAACATGCAGACTGAGTTTATTTGCTGTATTTGTCCACTTCCCATTTAATGGCTCCCACAATAATGCCACCATTTGCTCTTATATTTTTTTTTAAACAATGATTCGTAATCTGCTTTAAAAACCCAACATCTTTTACTGTAAACAAGTGCATTTTGCTGGCTTTTAAGCCTTTGATATTTTAGTTGTTAAGGTTTGTCAATTTTTCCACTGTTTTACAACAGTCACGCTTTAAATTAAGATACATATTGGCACATTGCCCATACTCCTTGTCCAAATGTTTATGCTCTGATTCAGTAGGGGCGTTAAGGACAAACATGGTCTAGGCCATAATATAAACACTCTGACATGTATTGTAGATCTCTTGGATTGTGGACTTAAATTTTTAAACAAGAAAAAGATTATCTTTAAGACTTAGGTTTACATTTTTTTTATTCTGTGTTCAGAAGAACAGCATGAAAATCTGTTTTCTACCTATAACCTACCTCATCTCAGAGGCATTAATATATCAAATGTTTACACACTGAAAATACAAGTCATTCTAGCTTTTCCTTTCCTGTGCATTATTTGTTGGCATCAGGCTGGATGCACTTGTGTTAAAGCCTAACTTCTGACAGTTACTCATGGCATGCAATGTACTAAGCCACTGAAAACTTGTGTTTTCATCCTTCAAACAAATTCACATTTAAAAAAAAAATAAATAAAAAAAAATCAACCAAACCAAACACGCTTTCTGAGGAAGACTTTTTTGTCAGAGATATGCACTGCTCTTAACACAATATCCAGAGATTTTCTTCTCTGGTACTTTAATGAAGTTAAAGACACAAAAGCACCTCTAAGTTAGCCCATGGATTCTGCAAGAACAAAGAATACTACAGCTATTTTTGGTCTACTGTATTTCTATGATTATTAGCCTGAACTGTGGCTTTACCAGTGGGGAGTGAGGACAGAATTTTTCAGAGAATGCAACAGATACTTAAATGCTTACAAGAATGCCCTGAAAGGAAGCAGGGCCTGAATCAACATTTTAAAGCACAAATTGAAAATAAAAACTTACACACTTGTTATTACCTGTTCCTCCCCGTTTTCCACTGCCTCAGCTTTCAAATTCTCAATACTTTGTTGAAGTCTCTCCATTTCTTCCTTTAAAACAAGAAAAAAAAAAAAGTTGCTGTTAACTGAGACCTATCCTCTTAAAAGGGGAAAACAGGAAGCTTGACAACATATATCTCTAATGAGCTGACACATACTTTATATTTGAATTTAAGATTAAACAGCATTCCCTGCTTAAGGGTCAGGCATCCATTATTACTCATGATCTAAAACTGCTTTTATCAAACACAGGAACAGATTTATTTCTTAGCTGGATCTACTACATTTCCAAGTGAAACAACTAACGAGTGACATGGAAAAAGGAACTGAGGAAGCAAAGAAATATTACAGTAGAATTGGCATGACATGGGACTGCAACATACGGCATTTGTAAAAAATGAATGAACCTAAAGTCACTTGCAGGTTTCCATTACAAACTTGCAGTTTCCACTACAATTTTTTAGTACTTTCCAAAGCATTATGTATGGGAAAATAAGGTTCCTATGATCAGTCTATGCCTCTGGGCACTATTTCTTTTTACTTCTTTGCATTCTATTGAATCCCACCCACTATTGTTCAAATAGAAGAAAATGAAGACAATTCTCTCTGATCACGTTTCCAGGCAGTCCATAAACAGCAGTAAACAGGGCAGCAAAACATAGCAATTAAGTGGTAAAACTGAAATGTGCTCTGAAAACTGCAATAGTTTCATCTCAGTCTGGTCTCTTTTGGTGGGTTGCTCCAAAGCTCAGGGCCTTCACCAAGCCCTCCTCTTTGGCAGTCTACCTCTTCTCAGGTCACTCTTGGCTGCATTATCCAAGAAAAGACAACCTATTTCAGGTGTGAATAGCACAGGTGGGTATTTAGCACAGCCCAACCTCGAACTTAGATTTTAATGCTGTCAACCCACCCCAAGTTGCTCTCAGCAGGATGGTAACAGGAACAAGAAAAGCCACAGCTATGACCAGTATATGGCTGATGTCTATGTCCACGAACTGTCCTGTATTCAAAAATCCAGGCACAGCAGAACACTGAAGGCCACACTAATTCAGATGCCTTAGCACCCTCCCTTATACCTCCCTGCCTCAGGGTAGGGGATAAGTCCTGGTTAATCTGGTTCCATCCTCTTTGGACATCAGCCTTGTTGCAGATACGATATACTGCAGAACCGGGCAACTGTTCATAGTTCTGCTGCAAATCAAGCTGGTGGCAGAATTCAATGAAAACCTAGAACTACCAGTAAACGGGAGAAGGGGACAGGGACAGATGACAGACAGGGACACAGTAAGACAACAAGTCAGGAAGAAGTATAATACTTACTTCCAAAGTTTTAAATGAATCCTTACTTAAGAAACTAAAACTTACCCTACAATGTGCTTTGAACTCTTGCTCCTGGCTTTTTAGGCTTTCATTCATGGCCACCAGTGCTCGCAGACTCTGTAATATGCTAAATTTAAAGATCCAGTAAACCACATTAGATTTCAGTTTCTGATTTAAATAGATGGCAAACTAAAAGACTTTAGAACAAGCTTAGTTCTAAATAAATTTCCAATAAAACCTTGTAAATTAAAAACCCAAATATCAAAGACAAAATAAAAATGTAATATTACACTGAGCATTTTGACGGTTTTGCTGTGTTCTGGCCTCATTACTGTGGAAGTTTTGAGAGAGACTCCTGTTTAGTGTATGTGAGATGAAGCCTTCAAATATGAAGAAAATAAGTAGATGAGGCCTTCCTGATTTATCAACTGTGTCTCGGGTTCTTCTGCTTTAAACACCTACAATTGTTTTCAACTACAGATCAACACTTTTCATTTCAACTGAATACTATGGTAATATTTTACTCTCTTTGGAAAACAAGCTGGAAACGATTTCATTTCTAAATTGTAGTTATTTGTTTAGGTTGACAAAGCAAGAAACACTGAAAGATTAATTTTCAAACCATCAATTTTCAGAATTTCCAAGGTCACAAAGGAAGTAACTTACCTAGAATCTGCTTGGGATTCTATTGTTTCTAAGGCTGCCAATTCTTTGTCCAGCTTTTCACTGTAACTCTTAACCTAAGGGTTGCAATTAACAATAAATTGAAATACACTTCTAGACATTAAATGATTCATGGTACTTAGCTTTGTCAAATGTCTTCTCCATTTAATACATCCCTCTACACACAAAGCTTCTCAAAAATGATTCAGCTAGAATCAGTACACAGAAAAACAAAGAAAGATTACCTCTGTTAATGTCTTTTTTGCTTCAGTGCATTTTGCCTGCAGATCAGTACATTTAGCTTGCAACTATTATGAAAGAGAAAAAAAAAAAAAAAAAAAATCAACATGCTAATTACACCTGTAATGGAGAACACACTATTTGACCTGTTAATAACAGTTGCCTATTAAATAATAGGCTAACCATCAAATACACTGTCTTTTCTTATCATCTACCCTGAGAGCATTTGATTGCAAGAACTCTAACTGAATATTTAATTAATAACAGCAATCATTTTCAACCTGACCTTCTAGATGTCTGGATGCCAAAGGAATGACAACTTACTGGATAAAATCTCTGCTAAATCTCAATGTTATTTAGCCTGGTTACACTGGTCTAGTTTCATACCAGGCTAAGAAGATAGCCCCATTCTTTACTTCTCCAGATAAGTTAGGGTGATCTGAGACTTGCATAAAAGTGCCGTGGCACCATACCACAGATATGTCCATATAAATTAGGAAAGCTCATTGATGTTTTTCTTTTGTGTAACTATGGAAAGTCTAGTAAGAAGGCAGTTAGTAAAATGTCACTGTATATTTCACTTGTAAAATAACTTAGAGACCAGTTTTAGAAGATCCTTATGATTTAAACATCCTTATTTAAGATAACATTGCAAACAGTAACAATAAAAATGGGACATGGGTTAAAAGTGGAGCAGAAGTGCTACAAAGAAAGAAATGCACATTTAGCTTTCTGTTCCACTTCTTTTCATGCTGGGTTTAGTTTGCTGTTCACAACACAGAGATTTGACTCAACGCTCGTTACTTTCCATGTCTGAATTTATAAAAAGAGAGCTTTTTCGTATTTTTCACCAATAATTCAAAATGTAAATTTAAGCCTGCAGTTCATATCTCACAAAGCTTAAGGAACATTTTTTATAAGAACTCTTGCTGAAACTTACTGCAGCACTGAAGCCAGAACTTCACAATCATTTTTCAGGAGAGGTGTCTTGATTATCACTAAGTTCAAAAGCTGTCTTTGGCAAGTAATTAAAAAAAATAAAATAAAAACAAAAAACAAACCCAAAACCAAAACCCCACCCGGGAGTTTTTTACTTTACTAAAGTGATAAAAGGATTGTATTTGTCTTGTAGCTGTCAGTATTTCTTTTCACTTCTAAAACCACATAGCACTGAGACTGTTATGTAGTGGAAATAAGCAACACAGAATTAAAGGGCCCTCAACTACTAAACTGACAAATAGTATGATAACAGATTTGGAAATTATTTAACTTCTCCTGTGGATTGTGAAGTTTGCTTGGCTGCGAAAAGCAGATCTGTAATGAATTAAGGACTCTACCAATTTGTGTGGTTTATAACCATTTTTCCTCCCTACTCCAAATTGCTTTCTTCTTCTCAACAGTACAGAGAATGCAAGCAAATACGTACATTCATGTGTCTGGGAAACTGGCAGAGGAAATTACTTGCACCAGGCATGAAAATGTAACTCACTCAACATATATAGTTTGAGGCATATTCAGTATTACTAATATAGTAGCCACACTATGCTACAATTTCCGAGAATATAAGAGCCAAGTACTTCCAAAAAAAAAAAACAAAAGAAAAATGAAAATGAGAAAACCTTTTGAATATTTCAGAAGAGCTGCAAAAGCCACCCACAACTGCTAAGCACATTTACCAGCCTCTCCTACAGCTCAACTAGGCAAGAAAGATCAAGGAAACAGCATGGCTGGAGAACTATGCTAGTGAACATTTTCACTGTTTGAAACCTGAGCTATCTGTTCCAGTTTCCTAATGCTACTCTTACTACACAATTGTACCTAACTTGTCCACCCCACTGTTAAACTTCAGCTAACTGGCTCCAAGAACATGAGCTGTTCTCACAATGCAAGGGCTGGGGTGCAGTGTTCTAATACATGCATTCATTCAAACTGAGCATGCCTTCTGCTATGTCTACATACTGCCTGCAGACAAAATGTAGATGGATGTAAGCTGGTGGACACAACCAAAATCTGTAGAACTATACTAGAACATCCTTAAACCTGTGCCACCTTTTATAATGGGGCTGTGCTAAACCATTGCCATTCATGACAAACGAGGCTTATCTGGAACAGATTTGCAATCTGCTAGCTCAGAACAGATGCTGTGAGGGAGCCTTCATCTGTCTCCATTCTATAATATACACAGCACATCTGTATCTCCCTTCATATGTAGTTGCCTTATAGCCTTTTAAAAGAGTTGAAGTGTGACAGAAATGTACTGCAATGAGTTAGGATACAATGAACTTCATCCTCTTTTTCCCCACTTCTGAAATTGAAAGATCTCACACTGTAATTTGTGTTTCTACTTCAGGAAAAAAAAACCTCAAACCAAAATGGCAATTCACACAATTTAACTGTCTGTAAGCCCATGTTATGATTTTTGAAAGCCTGACACTTCAGCTTGCATTTAATGCTAGATATTGTCAATATTTTTTTACTAACAGTCATCATTTTGAAAAAAACAGTAAAGTTATGCTTGACATAAACAGACATGGAAAATTGATATTACCAAAGTGATAAAAGACTACAAACTAAAGTTTTAAAAAAGGTGTATTTAATTTCAGATCATAATATCATAATTATACTATACCATTATACGCTCTCATATTCCACTCTAGAATGGAGGGAATTGTGACAGACATGGTTTACATTCAACGTACAATAGAAATAATAATTATAGTGTTATTGACGAGGAAAATATGCTTTTCTTGAACAGATGGGGCATGCTAAAGGGCAACACAGAAATGCATCAGTTTAAAAATGAAACTAGTTCAGTGTGTTCCAAAAGAAATGCATTCTAATATTTACCACTTAATACACTGTCATACTCTACCCTTCCAAAGTCTTTTTTCTTTTTTTTTTACGCAAAATAATTTAAGAAGAACGTACACTGTTTTTTCATGAAGCTTATTATTAAAGTTAGAAAAAAACAAAGAACAGGACAGGGAATTTGTCTTTCCAATTTCTTGTGCACAAGCTTTATTTCTATATCTTAATTTAAACTAGGTATTGAATGTTACTCACAGACTTCAAAAAATGGTTCACAGCATATGCTTTACTGAAAGGAGATTTGAGCTTTGAAGTGATAAATATCCTTAAATAAAAAGCATTATTGCACTGTTATAGAATACTTTATTCTCATTTTAAAAATAAATAAAAAAGTAGTCAGGTCTACTAGTGGCTGAGCAGGAAGGCTTAGCAGGGAAGGCTTTCAAAGCTACCATTCCTTTACCGCTGTTTGAAAGACTGAACCTATCACTGTCTCATAAAATGTGCCACACAGACACCTATCTTTCAGAGCCCACATACCACCACCATTTAATAGGAAAACACAGTTAAGATGTAAGGGGTTAAGACATTACTGACAAGAGCAGAGCAAAACAAATGAAAAAAACAGATGAAAGTTGCTGAAGCAGTGATGTATTTGACAGAAGTCATCAGCAACCATTTTTCCTCAAGTACTATTTGGGTTTTGGCAACCTCTGCCAATTACTGACTCTGATGCAGTATGTTTTCATCAGATTCTGCAAGCTAAAGATAGCATCACACTGATTACAGCAGTATGCATAATTAAAAGCCGCATTTTATTAATGGCATAGCTTTCCCACTTGTACTTTCCTGGGGTTAAATGGCAATAGCCTAAGTAGGCTGAAATACAGGAATTGTGGCTCTTGCTCGTCAAATTCAAGAGCCGTTCCACCCCCCTAAAACAAATGTGAAGATGTGAACCAAGCAGTGACTGTGCAAAAACACCCCCAAACAAACAAGCAAAAAAACCCCACCTTACTCAGTGAGACAAGCTGGCTCATACAAAGGGCAGGAAGTGATACAAATAATCTGTGGCATATTTTAGTGAAACTTGCTAAACTGTTCCTGTGAGAACAGCCCATTCAACACTACAGCTAACAAGTCAAATAAAGATACTACGTTTTTCTCCGAGGTATGCAAAAAAAAAAAAACCAACCAAAAAAAAAGTTAAAGCATGATTTGGTTAGCTAGCCCTCTTCTCACAAACAGGGCTATACAATTCTCTAATGTAAACACAGCCACATTGTCTTCATAATAAATGTGCAAGCAAGACGTTCAGAAATGCAGAAATAAATGTTCAGTATGACAAATTGATGGTACAGAAGACAGCTTGCAAATCTTTTCTGGATGGCAAAAACTTTGTGACCAACTACGTTTATTAATGTTTTCTTCTTTATTAAACACACAATACTTACCTCTTCCAGGAGTTTGTTTTTTTGCAAAATCTGCTTATTCAGAGATGCCACCTTCCTTCTATGCTGTTGGGCAGCTCCAAGCCTTTCTGGTCGTTCCTCAGCAGAAAGCTCAGATTGCTAAAACAAACAATAACAACAGCCTGATGGACCTCACACCATTACTCTTTGCTTCTTCAGTAGCTCAGAAAATGCCAAAATGGGACATACCTGTGATATTCCTTATCAAGAGCTGTTTCCCACTATACAACAGAAAGAATGACTTACCACTTTATCTCACACCAAGATAAGGAAGTGGCTGAACAACTGAATTATATCCCAAAGTTGACAGGTAAATTAAGCTAAAAATAAAGTCAGGTGCCCTGGGTGAGGTGGGAAATACTATAGTAAACTAGAAGAAATACATTTTTCACATGAGCATTACAGTTAAACCTGGCCTGGTACAGTCAGTTCTTAAACGGAAGAAATTACCAATATGTCAAAAAACCTCCTTAAGCAGTGTTATTTACTGAACTCGTTGTATCAGATGGGGAATTCTGCTCCATACCCCAATCAATAGATCTAGAACTTGAAAAATTCTATATTTAGATTTTGAAATACTGGCTTGGATGTATCTTTATGCTGTATGACAATGACATACTCAGCATGGTAGATACATTTACCACTCTAAGTGGTTTCTTTTTTTTTTTTTCAGTGTGCATGTGTGTACTGTTGACACTAGCCTTTGAAAACTACTCAATCCAGCATGCATTGCCAAGAAAGTGTCTCATAAAACATAATGAAGACAACCATCTGGACCCTGTTCTCTCTGAACTGTGAAAGTAAAGCTGCCAGAAACCTTCTTTACCAGGAATAGCATTCATAATAGAAATTGTGTATTCGTGGTAGACAATAATTAAATAATAATTGAAAACTGGTGATAGCTAGATGCCTACGTGATTATTTGCCTAAGCATTGTTTGTATCTTTTGGAAGTCATCACTTAAATACATCCATCTGTTTTGGTAATTTGCTTCATGCACCCAGACTTTTTTCCCAGTTAATCCATTTTCCAGTATTTTGCTAGAAAAATGGTTAATCTGTAAGTACTTCAGGTGCTAATATTTGCAGAGTCTGTCAAAGACTTCAATACCAAGTGCTTTTTTGAATATTTACCAAATGTTGGCAAGCACTACAATGTATAATCAGCAGAAATGTTACAAGAAGAATTAAATACTCCTCACTCATATTTGCTCCTGGTATCCACTCAAGGCAGATAGGTAAGCAGATGTTTCCTTAACAGCTTAATTTTAAATGAAAATAAGGGGCAAAACCTGTCTTCCTCTTCTCCGTTTTCTATGTTATTCATATCGAGAAGCAGCTTAATGATTTGTTAATACTCCTACATCCACAGAAAGAAAAGACCAATTCTGACATCTTAACCCAGCAATTCACAAACTTCCTTCACATATGTTAGGAAAGGAAAAATGCCTCTCAGCAGCACCTGTTAACACTGAACTATTCAACAAATAAACACTCAGATGTACTTAGTCCTCTCATTATGTAGCCAAATCACATTCCCTCATCATGTCATGCAATCTAAGATCCCATCCTGCTCACCATACATTCTGCCTATCTAATATGCATACCATGCAAATCAAGAAAACTGGAAATGCAAGAGAAAGAAACATCAGCTAAATCAACCCAAGACTGATCTTGCAAAAATAGTTAAAATCCATACAGTACAGGTTTGGTATGAGGAAAAGGTCATGTCTTAAGAAGTGGATTGTTACAGCTTACTTGAAATGGGAAATAACCATCACTGTAATACAGAGGTTTCTGAAAAAAAAAAAAAAAAATCCTTACGGACTGCAAACGAAAAAGCTAGGGTTAAACCTCATGCAGTCAAAGTGGGCCAAGGATCTGCTCTGCAGTGACACTAGAGCTTTAAAGTTACTGAGAAATTGGGTTCCAATTTCTGGAGAAAAATGCATCTTTCAGCAGAGAAGGAAGAAAACACAAATTATAGAAGCTACTTTGCTTTTGACAATACTGTTGTTACTTGGTCTCTTACTAGACTGAAACAACAGCTGCCTTTTGAACATAATGTAGGAAAGCTGTAGCTGAGCACTAGTGTATGACTGTTTATTAATTTGATACTCTATCTCAAAACAAGAACTTAAATTACATGTGATACATGGATACATCCTTCAACTTTGTTAGCACACACTATCCCCACCACCAACAGGTGTAGACTCGCTTCTGCATTCTTCTGCATTCCCTTCAACTGCTCAGTTGCCCTAAAAAGATATAGCCCATTCAAATAAACAAGACCAATTCTGTCATGGGAAATGAGGATATTATTGTTTAAGTTAAAACACCATATTAATTATGCATGAAGATCACTTATCTATGTCAGCTCAAAAACTGCTAGCTAAAATAAATGGCTAATTCTAGACTTAAAAATCCTGCCTCCCACTGTTCACATGTAAAAGTTTTAAATGGGAAGGCAGAAGGAAATATATGCAATTAATGTTATTCTTTGTAATGAGATTCTCTCACACACATTACTGCTATAAACTTTCCTATAATTAAAGAAAGAGAATTCAATCATTACAGAACTTCACATTCTTAAAACCAAAATACAACTGAAAACCAATGAAAGAGTATCTGTACAAAACCACAGACTTTGTAGCAGTAAATAATTTTGTTTATCTCTTCATATTCAACCATCTCCTACTAGCAAACAGATTTCAGAGGTTTAGGTCTGTCTCTGACTCCCTCATAACTGCCTCAATTGGAAGGCCACTGTCTGAAGCCCACTGGGAAAAAAAAAAAACAACAGTCTCCAAGGTTGGAACAGCTCATATCTGTTTTCAGTAAAGTTCCACATAAATCTTTCCGGTCATTTCAATGTAATTTGCTGACACCTTTCCTTGCCCCTTTCTAGAGGCTCAGGAACCCTCTGCATCTCACTTTATCACTGAGGGTTTCCTCAAACTAAAAAGATATAAAAATATCCAATTTAGTATTTTCCTTGAAAAACAACAAATAAACATATTAAATTATTGAAATGCTTATTGTATGCTACTTCAACTGGCTGTGTAGGGTGCACAGTATTCTCCAATGTAGGATTCTAGAAGCCCAAAAATATTCCGAGTCAACATCCTAAGATAGAAGCAACTCACAAACTACATTTAAAACTGTTGACGAGGATCCTCCTTCAGGCATTTTTGAAGGGGGTAATTTTGAGAGAGCACTTCTTGAGTTTTAGCATTCCCTCATTTTACTTTTCCTCCTTTTCTATTCCTAGCAAAACCACCTGTTATATATGACTATACTTGTAAATTTTCTAAAACAGTAAAATCAAAACTACTTTGAATAACTGGCCTTAGAGAGCTGCGATGAACAGACAGATAAAAGCCATGTTTTCTGCCAGGATTTTCAGGAAGTGAGGCACAAACTCTTCCCAGTTTACCCAGCAAGTTAACACAGCAGCAGAAAGAAAAGACAAATGCAGAAAACTGTATGCACTGACCTTCTGCAAAAGTGCCACCTTGTAAGGAAGGTCTTGGCACATGGCAACATCAGATCTAGAATTTTCTTTGCCAGGTATCTTCACTGGGGAATTATAGACTCTGGCAGACAAATAAGCACTGTGCTCTTCAGACTATGTATAGTTACAAGGGATTAAAACTATTGCAAGTCTATATATCCAAACACTGCTGATGCTTTAATAAACTGATAACATACGTAACTCTTTTTTCCAGGTATATGCATGCACACAGAGTTTTTTATGTTGGCCATATCTAATAGATCTGAAAAGCAAAACATTTTTTGGTTTGATGTGAATCAGTTCTTATTTTCCAGAGTATTAATCATTCTTCTACTATAATAGTCAAGGTCCTGCTGCCTTCTCTCAGAACAGAAGAAATATAACACTGAAATATGACCCTTGGGCTTCTGTTCTTCCATTCCCTTTTAATAAAGAAAGAACAAGAATTTGTGATAGACTACGTTAAGTTATAGGGTTTATCTCCCAAATGGGAAAGCTCCATACCTCATGTGTCAACAAAAAGAAAGAAATATGAGAAGACTATTGGACAAATAAGAGCTTCCTATAACTCGTATCTGGCAGTGATGTATTTTATATATTAATTGCTTGAAGAGCAAGATTTTCTTTTCACATTGCTGTAAAAACAATTACAGTTGAACACAATAAATGGAGCTAATAGGCACATTTAATTGCCTTGGATTCTAAAAGCAACAAAGTTCTGGTTTTAATACTAAATTCAGGACTAGAGACCCAAGGCATGACAGAGAATTGAAGCCCAGAACAAGTAAGAGCCCAGAGTCTGAAAATCTGCTTGGAGGAGGCCTAGACTTTTCTCTGAGCAGGACTACAGAACTTCTATGCTTAGCATTGAACACATTAAAATGCATTAGGAGTGTAGGTCTTATTTGAACAGGTATCAACCCAGGCCTTTCTTTGTTCATTAAAACATTTAATCAGGTGCTTAAAATCGAACACAATCCAGGAACAGGTACTAACACACTAAAAGCTTGTGAATGTTTAAATCTCATTGAAATACTTTCCTGAATCCTGACTGTACTATCTACAGCATATATGAAACAGTGCTGTTTCAAAACAATCATGAAAATTAAGTTCAAAACTTAAGGCCTAAATTAACAAGCTATCAAACACAACTTGGTAAGCCAAACACAATCAGGTAACACACTTACCTTTTCAGCATATTCTGACACTATTTGCTTGATCTCATCTGACTGGAGTCCAACAATCTGGCCAACTGTGCTTGCTGTCAATTTGCCCTGCAATGGTGTCAAGAAAACATTTGGAATTTTGCAACTGCTTGTGCTTTTTACATGGCAATTTCCCCAAGCTCCAATTTTAACAGAAATTACAAAACCTTCACACTGGGTAATAATCTCTAGCCATAAAAGACCGTGAAACATTCCACCCCCAAAAAACTTCACTGATGGAAATTCCCATTTACAACCTTTTAACAAACTTGAATTCAGATTTTCGAAAACCTACCTAATTCTATTCTGTACACTGAATTTTTCATGTGCAGTAATAAAACTATTAGACCACATTTGGAGCCAAACTATGACAATACAGATGTGTGAAAGAATGCACCTTTCAAATTGGATGCATGTACAAAAACAATCTTCAAGCAAAACTGAATTCTACAGTGGATTTCAGTAGAAAGCATGTCATCAACTTTGAGACTAGGCTAATTACCACCTTTGCTTCTGTGACTTCAGAATAAACAGAAACAATGTTGCACAACTGAATTTCTTCCCAGTCCTCTCAGTCAGGTTCCATTGTATCATCAACTACAACCAATTAAGAAAGGAAGATATGTATACAGTATTTTCAGTGTTTTAGACTAATGGTGGTATTTGTAAATATTTTTCAGTTGCTCTGAAAAACACCTGGAAATGAAAACAATTTTCCTTCACTCTTCCCAGTAAAATGATTACTCCTGTGGTTACCTTCACAAGATAAATAAAGATCAATCACACCGCATCTTGGGTAGCTGCAAAGCAATGTCTTTCCCCTAAAATTCTCCTTGCAGAAACGATTTTAAAGAGGCACTTATTTATATTGCTTTCATTATTTCAAGGCAAAAGATTAAGTCACCAGCCTCATAAAAATTACTGTCATCCTATTTCAACCATCTTTTCATGCACTCCCTTCATGATAATTTAAACACTGTCATTCCAAGATTTCAGACTCATAATTAACCCAATTTTAGGAATAATTGGCATAATCAACTATAATGTAAACAAAGCTTTATCAGTTTTAAGTGCTGTTTACCTCTTCTGTTGCCATTGCAGCCATTCCGGTCATCAGAGTTTTAATGCGAAGCTAGGGCAAAATATGAGGAATTACATATGATAATTTATCTTTTGTCATTTAACTTGCTTCTGCTTAGTGGCAAGGACACATATATACAATTAGTATCATATAATATGCATATTTTATTGCATGTAATAGCAGAGTAAGTCTACAAAAGTTAAAGAAGAGATGGCTGAAGTTACCAAATTTAAGGAAAATTTGTTATAGTAGTAAAGGTTCAGAGTATTCAGCTCCCACTGTCAACTAAAACCTGGCCTTTTAAAACCACTCAGATTCCAATGCAAAAGCACTGGTTTTGGTATTAAACATCAAATATTTAATGTTGGGCATTAATTTCAGGTCCCATATTCTCCTGTGAGTCAGAATCCTCACTTCAGCAAAGCTTAGTGATTTTCTCTCTTTCAAAGAAGGACTGTCCAGTGATAACTGATGCCCTCCCCCCACATCAGTAACATCAATGCCTACTATTGATGTGGCACACCTCTTCAGCAGCTTGAAGGTCATCTTCATCACAAGGCTCAGCTTTTCCTGCTGCTGCAAGCCCTGGAGGTACTGCAATTTTTTTATCTTCAGCCTTTTAATGAAGAATTAAGAAAATATATCTAGTTGTAGTATTCTAAAGTATTAAGGAGGACGGCAAGAAGAACTTTGCAACACAGCTGTTCTGTTTTTACTAATACATTTCAGCTATTCATGCTAACTGAAATGTAACCCCCTCCTTGATTTCACAAGAATTCCAGCTGTTCAAGATGGGTATCTAGCTTAATCTGGGCCAATCTGGGGCAACGATCCTTTATTACACAGCCTTCTGAGAGCAACCAACCTCACAAGACAATTACTTACCCCAAAATATAGGGGAAAGTGGTTGGGTATTTTCTAACGTATATCACATATATATATAAAATGTATTTTCTAACAATATCACAATCATACAACATCAAGTGTTAAATTGCCTAGTTCAGTGAGAAGAGTAATAAGAAGTGGTAACAGACAAACTTCTAGGTCACTCTAGTGCACCACCAACCTGAATAATCTTCCACTTCTGACTTACCGGAGATTTAATTTACACAGCAATATGATGACCATCTAATACACAATATTTCAAAGTCAGTAATGCTTTGAAGAAAAAAAAAAAAAAAAAATCAACTCTATAAAAGTCTACTCTATTAACTCTATATGACTGCAGTCTGGCAATTACTTTGAGGAGAAAAAGGTATGCCTAGATTGGAAAAACATCTCCATTTCTAAAATTTAAATGCTAGATTTGTCTGTGGACTATTGAGACAACAAAGAAGTGCAATGTCAATATACTCAATGTACTGCTGGGTCCACAACACACTTACTGCATTTCTTCACTATCTCTGTCTGTAATAAAAATTTGTAGCTAAAGTAATATCTGCACTGAAATAATAAAACTGCAAATACTCTGACAAGGACATTTTATGATTCCATAATCATCAAAAGCACAGCAAGGATGCTACTTTTCAAGAGGCACTATGATTTATTTATGACACGCTACCATGTTTCTCTATCACATTAAAAAACATGTTATGTAATAAATGCCTACAAAATTTCTTACCAAGCTGAATGGTTCTTTGAAAAAAAAAAAAAAAAAAGGAAAAACTCTAATGATCACATCATGGAACCTTTAGTTAAAAGTTACTCATTAAACAGACAGGATATGTCATTACCTCACATTAAAAACCAAAATCAAAACACCTAAACTCCCTTCCTTCTAAGCAAAAAAATAAATAAATTTTGCAAAATGCAATGTTTAATTACAAACAAAAGAAACCCTTTCAAAAAGGAGGTTAAATTGCATCTTTCATGGCATGCAGATTTTTAGTTCCAGTTCACCATTTTTAAGAGATGGTAATAATAGAAGCTGCAGCTGGTTACTGTTGTATTCCTTTAAGCTCTTACAGTAACCAACACTTCAGTAAAAACAGTGCAATTCTTCCCACAATTTGAGCATTTAAAAATTGTGTATTGTTTTTACCTGTTCCGTTTTTCCTGCTTGTCTGCTAAATCCGTATCTCCTAAAAGAACAATAACAAAATGAAAGACATTGGTTTTTTACAATGCATTAAGTTTCTTCAATTTTCAATGTAAGAAATGCACCAACAGCCAAATTCAGGTTAGTTTTGGAATACTTCAAATAAACTAAATAAGCAGGTACTGCAGCATACTTGAAGAATGATTTCAGCTTCATCTATTCTTTCCATTATGGTTTCCAAATCTAGACATTTCATGTTGTCTTATAATGCTCATGAAAGGAAAAAACAATGTTCTCTTTCCATTTGGAAGTTATTCCTAAGCTATTATTAGCTATATACAACTGAATACTGGAAAGGCTTCAAGAAATCGTCAATACAATCTCTACTCCTCAAAACATTCATGTTTGTGTGCTTTGATGAATTCGTAATTTCTTTCTGAAGCATGGCATTCAGAGCTTTAAATACATATTCAAATAGACTTCTTTACATCTGTTGGTTTGGTGGGTTTTTTTTGAGGGAGAAAAAAAAATTATCATTTGAGCTACGTTGTTATTTTGGAAATACTACCTTATAGAAAAAAACAGGTAGGAAGAATTTTAGATATGAGCAATCATCTTTGGCCTTACGAAGCACTAAAGCCATCATCAACACAGATGTGGAAACAAAAGTGATGCTCCTGACTAACTTACAGCTACAACTGTCACTCTTATTTGTCCGGTTCCTTAACTACTGCAGAAGCAGGAGCCATCTGGATGATAACCAAGAGGCAGTTTGGAGGAGAAAAAAAAATCCTCTCCTCATGATTTTCTGTGACTGCAGTCTACATGCAGTAAAACAATGAAAGGTTCACTTCAGCCATTTTAATTCTAAAAATTTTCAACTCTATTCCTAAATCTAACATTTAGGATTTGCCTTTTTCAGCAGCATTCTTGTTTCCCTAACAGTGTTGAAAACTGGAGAGTAATCCCCACTGCCCCCACGGATTTCCGGGAGTAATCTTGGAGTCCTTGTACTCTTGATAATTTATTACTAGGTTCACAGTAGACATACTATCACCTTCCCTAAGGGTTTCCGTCTCTACCAAAACATGTGAAGCAGATATTTGTGTATCTTACTACTGTGGTTTTCTTAGATGTTCTTTATTTTTGCACCATACAAAAAATAGTTTTCTGATCACGAGTTTTATGCTTTGAGAATTCATTAAGAGATCAATACCAGAACACATTTAAATCCAGTAATTATTTTCTTCCACTTCCATCCAATTAATGTTAAGCTCTTCATATGAAATAGATAATTGTATGGTCTTTCAATAAGCCCTGTCCTTTCTATCACGAATTTAAGTAAATGTCTTTCCAACATCAAATACCTCTTCTCCCTTTGTTTTTCTGCTAGGGCTCTGATACACTGTCAAGGTCACCTCCACAAATATTGACTCAAAGAGGTATTTTCCTTCCCCAAAGCTCACAATTTCTTGGTCATCTCATTAATCCCAAGCGACTTCTCATGTGTGTGTACTGATGCACACTATACAACAGTGTGTATTTTCTTTTTGTATTTTCAATGCCTCCTACTTTTTTGTATTTTCAATGCCTCCTACTTTTCTATTCTTATTTCCTCTGCCTGTGCTTCAACTCTCCATCATCCATTTTCATTGTTTTTTATATTAAAGATTTATCTTTTTTTCTCAGCAAAACCAGTTTTACTTGGGTCACAACTATTCCCCAGTACCTAAAGCTAAAAAAATTGCAAGAATCTATAAAAAAAACCCATCTTTCATTTATTTATATTTTCACACTACATAGTGATTTCAAGTTTTGCCTTAAAAAAAAAAAAAAAAAAAAAACCAAAAAAAAAAAAAAAAACCAAAAACCCCGAAACAAACCAAACCCTAAAATTACTCTAGAAAAATCATACACATGAATTCCCTTAAAGGTCATAAACTGATTTATACTTTTTTTGTTGAGAGATGTCTGTTGACACCAATATGGAGTAATGACATTGAAACAGTACAAGAACTACAAATAAACAGACTGGGAATACACCAGGACTTTGTTTTTCCATACCAGCTCTTTGGATTCCTATGGTGAGCACTTCAGAGGCAGCAATGACCTGATCTAAATCTAGATATTTCAGTAGGCATGTTTTCTGCTGAAGAGTCAGGAAAGAAATCCACATGCCAAGTAGAATAATCCCTGACACTATCACCAAATTACAAATTCCATTTTCACTGGGGAGGAAGGAATCTGACTCTAAAATGGATGAAGCAAATCAAGCCTAACGCTACTAGCATTAGAAAAATAGCAAGACTCATTTTTTTCCCCCACTTTCTGGGATTGCTCACAAAGAGGCAACACTGATTGACAGATGCTACCTAGAAGCATCATGAATTTAAGATACTTTTATGAAGCAAAGAACAAGTATGTTAAATAAAAAAACCTCAGCATAAAATCAGAACTTGGGCTCCCACTATTAAATAGCGCACATATGAGGACTGTCCAGTCCCCAGAGAATTTATAAGGTAAGCAAACAAAATCTGAAACCAAAGGGAAGTCTGAAACAGTTTGATTCCCAAGTAGTAGGGAAAAAAACCCAACCCAACCAACCCAAAAGCTACAATGCAAATTTTATACAAGATGCTTCTAAATACACACAATACAAACCCCACAGACAATTAAATGAAGCCTTTCACCTGCCATATTCCAGAAGTGTAGCATGAACCTTTGATTCTTCATCTAGCAGTTCTTCAGCTCCCTTCTGACGTTTATATTTTCTCTGGGGTTTGTAAACCTCCTGAAAGACAGTGAATGAATTCAGAGCTGGTAAAAGGCTTTTCTGAAATAAATAAGTTGTTATCTAGAGTGACATATATACCACTGCATGCTTTCCAGCTCCATATACTTACCCAAATAAACATCTTTCTCTTTTCGGAATTACATGATAAAAATCTCACTGAATTTACTTCTAAACAATTTGCTACAGGACATGTCTCTCCAGGCTTTAAAAAATTACAAATTGGTATTTAGCAACAAACATAATTTCTTCAACCATCTCCTCCACTATGTTTGAAAAAAAAGTGAAAAATAACATAATCAATATCTATTCAATATCTGTGATTTAGCTGATAATGCCAGTGTCTAGAAATGCACCTCCTTTACAAGTTAATACTGATTTGTAATCTCCGATTAGACACTAAATGTAATTATTACATTAAGTAATAATTACTCAATGATCACAGGTTACGATGGAGTTAAAACAGATATAATTGCAATTTAAGAACAAAATATCTTAAGACATTTGGTATTAAAATAATTTGATATCATGGTATCCCAAAGTGACCCTACTGCTGGACAACAGCCCATCAAATATAACAAGGGTTCACAACATTATTCTGTGCTGATAGAGCTACTTCTAATTTAAAAACAAAATGGAAACAAAAACGCCATTATCCTGTTAACACAGACACAACTGCTACAGCACTGTAAATACAGCCTATATTAAAGTACCTTTTTATAGATAGTATCTTCCATATAGATAACTGTGTCACTATAAAAAGTCTACACATACAGAACAACATTAGAGAAATTATTCTAACTCAGGCACAAAAAACCCAAAGCTAAACAAAAAATAACCAGCAATCCTTTCTCTGAGAGCTTTGGCAGATTAGAATTTGGAACCAAGACAACATTTACTTTGACTGGAATTATTTTCGCTGCTTGTTTGGTGAAAGATTAGGGTGCAGTGAGTCTGTAACACAACATTTCTGTTGCTGGAATACAGATCTTGACGTTGACTGAAGTCTAGTATTTAGTGCTATCCTGCTAGTACACATAGTAAAAAAAAAAAATCTAAACAAGAACCTGTGACCTCAAAGATTTATATTTTTTTTTTACTCCAGTTCATATTTTTTAAAAGTATTCCCCTTAATCAGTTAAATTACATTTTCTCTTCTCCTTTTCCTGAAATGAAACCGTAGCCCTTATCACAGCACAGGAAAACTTCATCATCGCCATCAAATAATCAGCATCAAAAAGGAACATGACCCTCTCTTCTGGTCTGTTCCACATTAATATATTTCAAATATATGAATTTTGAATAGATGAATTTAAAATATGCTTAAATATATTTTCAAATTTAGATTACATATATTTTTAAATTCATCTATTTTAAATACATTAATTTAAATATATGAACCCTTTGAGGGCCAGAAAGCTTAGGAGAAATACATTACAAAAGCCAAAATTGAAATGAAAGTTTGGTCTTTCCACATATACATTTAAATTCAGAAAATTGTATTCACACGGCACAAAAGGTTCAATGCAAGAAACTGCAAAGATTCTAAAAGAAAATAGAAAAGATTTTTTGCTTGAACTGACTTTTTGTACAAACACAAACTATTATTTTCAACAAGCAATTCCTACACCATAACATTGCCAAAATAGCTTTCAATCTTTTCAAAGGCATGTAATCCCAAAGTAGTAAGTGAAAATAGATAGTATTCCTTGGCAAGTGTCTCCTGAATTTGTCAGTTAGCTTTTGCAATTTTTACTTTATTTTTGATCTCAATTTCTGTCATCTTTGTTTTCAGGTATTAAATCTTGCTACATTTTTGATTGTCGAATGAAAAAAACTTTTCATGATCAAGAATCTCACACTTAATGTACTTTCACACCTACAGAAAAGCAATGTAAGTTATAAAAATAATTATAGCTTTTAGGATGACATTCTATATCATATCCGTACCATACAAAGTGTAGACATCATACCACAAACATTAATCTTGGCATCAGATAATTGAGTACTTGAACAAGACCACTGCAAAATCTCAATCCACTAGTCAGTCACCTTTCAGCAGCTATAGTTCCTTTTCCAATAACCATTACTAATATTTAATAATCCCTTTTCTAACCTTTCAGCCTGAGCATGACCATAAATCTCACTGTATTGTCCCCTTGAGGAGAAGAGGACAGGCCCTTAGACCAGTTATAATAATGAATTCAGGCAACAGAGTAATCTTTCAAACTTGGTGGTCCTCTTTTAGGAAAGTGGATTTCTCTTTCGATTCCAATGCATAATAGAAAAGTAACCTGCAACAGAGCCTTCATCTAATAGCTGCCACCTTTTTCCAGCTCCTATGGATATACTGGTAAGCTTTGCAGCTTCTCCCCTGAAAATTCACTTTGTTCTCCTAGACTGCACTCATGCCTTAATGCCTTAAGAGATCTCATTAACTAATCTGCCATTAACAAGTCAGGTGCCAGCTGTAGTTATAACAATAACAGATATAATTCTGACAGAGCTCATGTTTAAGAAAGAGGTGTTTGTCTAGCAATATCCTGAGTAATGATGTCAAAACAACAAACTACAAAACTTCATCTACCATGAAGATGCACCTAAAATCTAGAGATCTGTGATCCAGAGGAAAAGACAGAATACACCTTTATCAACCCTGAAGATAGATCAAAACTCGGGAGAGCAGCCATTTTGCTGAAAGGCAGGAGAGCTATTCAGAGCTATTTAGACAGGGCAGGCAAGTAGTACAAAATACTATCAAACTTTTAAGATTGCATCCCACATGGCATCCTTGTCTCTAAATTGGAGAGACATCAATTTGATGGATGGACCACTTGGTGGATAAAGAACTGGCTGGATGGCCGCACCCAAAGAGTTGTGGTCAATGGCTCAATGTCCGGCTGGAGACCAGTAACGAGTGGTGTGCCTCAGGGATCGGTGTTGGGACCAGTCTTGTTCAACATCTTCGTCGCTGACGCGGACAGTGGGATTGAGTGCGCCCTCAGCAAGTTTGCTGATGACACCAAGCTGTGTGGTTCGGTTGATACGCTGGAGGGAAGGAATGCCATCCAGAGGGACCTTGACACACTTGTGAGGTGGGCTGATGCCAACCTCATGAGGTTTAACCATGCCAAGTGCAAGGTCCTACACCTGGGTGGGAGCAATCCCAGGCACAGCTACAGGTTGGGCAGAGAAGAGATTCAGAGCAGCCATGAGGAGAAGGACTTGGGGGTGTTGGTTGATGAGAAAATGAACATGAGCCGGCTTCAGTGTGTGCTTGCAGCCCAGAAAGCCAACCGTATCCTGGGCTGCATGAAAAGGAGCGTGACCAGCAGGTCGAAGGAGGTGATCCTGCCCCTCTACTTTGCTCTTGTGAGACCTCACCTGGAGTATTGTGTGCAGTTCTGGTGTCCTCAACATAACAAGGACTTGGAACAAGCCCAGAGGAGGGCCACAAGGATGATCAGGGGACTGGAGTACCTCCCGTATGAAGATAGGCTGAGGAAGTTGGGGCTGTTCAGCCTGGAGAAGAGAAGGCTGCATGGAGACCTCACAGCAGCCTTCCAGTATCTGAAGGGAGCCTATAGGGATACCGGGGAGGTACTCTTCATTAGGGACTGTAGTGACAGGACAAGGGGTAATGGGTTAAAACTTAAACAGGGGAAGTTTAGATTGGATACAAGAGGAAATTCTTTCTTGTAAGGGTGGTGAGGCAATGGAATGGGTTGCTCAGGGAGGTTCTGAATGCTCCATCCCTGGCAGTGTTCAAGAACAGGTTGGACGATGCCTTGGGTGATATGATTTAGCGTAAGGTGTCCCTGCCCATGGCAGGGGGGGGTTGGAACTAGATGATCTTAAGGTCCTTTCCAACCCTAACTATTCTATGATTCTATCTTGTTTTCCTCACTTTCCATTATCTGTTTCATTATTGGACCCTGAAAATGGAACTGTTCCCTTAGCTGCAGCAGTAGACACATGCATATCCACTCAAGGACCATGACCTATGAATTTTATAGTAATAGCCCTAATATAACAGGTAAGTGAAAACCAATTAACTAGCTTCAACCACCAAAGACACACATGATTCGGCATACATGTACCTGCTTCACTGTTGCCATGTCATTCTCTTCAAGCACTAAAAAGCAATTCCAGAAAACATGCAGATAGATATGTAAAGGAAACCCAACTAAGCACCATGGGACTTTAGACAAGCCATTTGAATGGACCCGACGTTTACTACATAACTGCAAACTCAAAGTAGATTGCATTCCTTCTTTTCAGAAAAGGTCTCACAAATAAATGCATTAATAATACAGGGATCCCTTCATCAGTGTTAATCAAGTATCTTCTGTATGCTTTCAAATTACACCAAAAATTCTAGGTACTGATGTCTCATAACAGCATTGTTAATACTTTGTCTCTTCAGTTACAAGGTTGATATCAGCCACTTGGACACAGAATCCGTGATGCTATTAAAGACAATGCACGTAGAAAATGGACACATTTTAATCACTTCAAAAATTAGGACAATTATTCTGAAAGTTGAAAATAAGCAGATGCTCAATGAATTTCAAGTGCTAATTGATCCAACACACATTTGGAATTTGCTTTCTTACATAGATTTGCATTCTCTCTCAATTTAAAGGGTTATAAAGGTGCACAAACAGAACAATAATAGCCATTCACAAGGGAAGCTAACTTGTAAAACAGAAAACAGATCTCACTAGGAAGACATGTATTGCTGGCTGGAGCAGAAGATTCGCTCAATATCTGCTAATAATTAAAAAAACCAACCAAACCATGGGGAACAACACTCAGAGATTGTAATTGAAAATTTAAAAGCAAGAGTAATTACACAAATAGATTAACAAGGGATTTGCATTGGTCATCACCTGGAGACTTTCATAGCAATGTTTTTTTCTATAAACATACACTGTAATTCAACCACATATTAGGTTCAATAGCACTCACGTCATTAATATGAAAAACCAGCTACCTCGAAAACATGACAAAAGAGTGAGATGACTTGTCTGGTCTGTTATGTAAGCTATCATACAACTTCTTATATTGACACTTAACACCTATTCCACGGATGAAGAGTGCAGGGTGTCTAGCTAGAGCTATCTGAAGTTACAGAACTACATAATGGTTGAAGTTGGAAAGGACCACCGAAGGTCATCTAGTCCAACCTCCAGACTCAAGACAGGTCACCTAGAACACACTGCTCAGGATCGTGTCCAGACAGATCTTGCCTATCTCCAGGGAAGGAAGGAGACCCCACAACCTTTCTGGACAACCTATTCCAACACTCAGTCACCCTCACAGTTCAGGTGGAACCTCAAATTTCATTTTATACTCACTGCCTCTTGTCCTGTTCTCTGGCACCACCAAGAAGAGTCTGGCCTCATCCTCTTGACACTTTCCCTTAGGATACTTACATGTATTGTACGTGTGCAAGTATCTGTACACCCTGACCCTTCTCTTCTCTGGGCTGAACAGGCCCAGCTCCCTCAGCCTTTCCTCATATGAAAGATGCTCCAGACCCTTAATCATTCTAGTGGCTTCTCATTGGACTTGCTCCAGGAGCTCCTTATCTCTGCTGTACTGGGGAGCCCAGAACTAGATGCAATACTCCAGATGAGGCCTCACCAGGGCTGAGTAGAGACGGAGGATTACCTCACTTGACCTGCTGGCAATGCTCTTCCTGAAGCAGCCTGGGGTACCATTGACTTTCTCGTGCACAATGGCACACTGCTGACTCAGGTAGCATTGATTTTCTCAGAAGCATGGGGTTTCCTATCTACTGAATAGCCTTGGAAGTATCCCGTTCAAAACTCACCAAGATTTCTCATACCTTCTGAAATGATGGCCTGAGAATTTATCACGTGGTAGCTACGCATCTGAACTCAGTGCTACAGTCTACGTATTTTAAATGTTACTCCCTGCAGTGTTCATGAACAAGCGTCCAAAAAAAAATACAAAATGTTTATTCAAGATTTAGAAGAAATGCATCTGAAGAGGTAGAACATTTCCCATATATTAGGGAATCACAAGAGGTGATACCACATTTCCCAACCAACATGTGCTACTTGAAGAAAGTATTTTCAAAGTAGGGTATTTCCACTACTAATTACAAGGAGTAAAAACGAAACGACAAGTCCTGAAATGCAGACATTTTAATTGAGATCACTGCTATTTTGTTAAAGACAAACAGTCCAACTGCTGATAGCTTCAGAACAAAGAGTCTGCTGAGGGTTTAACAGCTTATAAGCCACTTTGTGGCTTTTGTTTGAGCACATGGAACTCCACATTATCTCTGCAGACTGTTGATACAGATTATATATTCATACAGTGCACACCTAACAGGTTTTCTGATATGCTGGTATTTGAGATCTGATTTAAATATGAAGCTTGACATGTAACTTAACTGGGGCCTCATCATGAGAAAACCTAGGACTCGCTGCATTAAAAAGAATTTACCACCACCATTTCTTAACTAAACCCATTAGTTTATCGATCATAAAAATCTAAAATACTTACAAATATATCAGTGACAGCTTTGATAGCCTTCTCTTTTCTTTGCATAAATTCACCATCCTGCAAGACATTAATGGAGGTGATTAAAAATACCAGGAATGGAGACTAAATCTCAGACACTGTAATGAGTTTAGCAAACTAAACTGCCAAATAGCTTCTAACCAAATTATCTGGTGAAATGTTAGTGGTTTCCTCTAACACAGAAATTTATTTACTTCCCTCATCAGATGGGTGGTAGATGTTTAAAACTCTATCCAGAAATACAGTCTTTCTGCTTACTGCTTATAAAGTACCTGACACAAATGCAACGCCAGCCCACTGCCAGTCTCAAATAATTCCTACACTGTGAAGAAATGAACTTAGGCTGGATTTAATGTGGAAAAGAAAAATTTCCCCTACTCTTATTTCAGTTTCTAAGCATTAAAAACAATAAAAAAAATATTATCTAAACCACCCAAAGCTAATAAAATCCAGCTGTCTTTCTCAGCACTAAGTACATCTACCTTTAATGCTGTTACTGAACTAGAAACAAAACTTACGTCCTAGGTTTTAAATATGGAATTGCCTTGGGATATGCATGAACAGAACTGGTGACTTTGCACTAAAAGCACAAACCCAAGCTCATTCTAGCCCTTCTCCTACACCAAGGAAACTTGTATCATTACTGCAGAATAGTAAGAAGAAAGGATCACAACACTGTTCTAAGCATGTAATTTCAAAACAGGTAGTATCTGACTATTAGAAGGAATGTTATTATGGTATCACAAATGGTGTAAAATTACTCTTACCACTACACTTTTAGATAAAACTCTACCTATCACTCCTCTGGCAATTACATTTTAAAGAGACAAATGTATTTCCTTTTAACCCAAACCTGTCCCTCTGTCTTTCCTCAAATTCAGTTTTTGAATGAAGATTTTTAGGAATCTAGTTTTCAAGAACAAATTTTAGGGTTTGGATACAGGCAGAAAGGAGCTGACTTTGAACAGTCTAAAACAAAACCCAAGTTGGAGAAAACTGACATCACATCAATTCTCATTTAGCTTGATCAGCTTCTTCACAGCATGCCAGGTGTTTTCAAACACATTTCAGGCAACATAGCTCCAGTCACACAGGCTGTATATACTGCACAGAGCTCTATATCCACTCCAGAAGCAACCTACCTGGCATGTCAGACTGACAGAAAAGTACCAAATATTGCAGAAAAACTAAGGCAACTATAAAGCAAAAGTTAACCAGTATCTATGAACTCTCTCTCAGAACATTTTGAATTTCTACATGGATTCCTCTAAAACTGATTATGAAAACAAAAGCAAAGGCAGACTTGGTATACTGGGCTGATGTCAGAGCTGTGAAGCTGGTACTGCACCTAAGCATCTGACATAACAGAAACAAGAACTGGTTTAATCTTACCTCAGGTAGTCTATGAGTTTTTTGAAACTGTGATATTGAGTAAGAACGGATATAATCTCCCATTTCTTCCCTTGTTTCTATTGCACGTTTTACTAGCCACTGGAAAAAAAGAAAGTTTGTATCAATTGAAAGGGGGGGGGAACTAACAGGAGCAAACATCAAACTACTGCATAATTGGTTTTAATTCTTTTGTATGATAAAAGCTAAAGGCACATTTTAAGCACACAAACAAGAACATTTATTTGTAAACATGGTAATTCAGAGATCTACTAACAAAGTGCTTCAGTATTAGCTATTTCATAAACTTCATATTTGCTCTTCAATGTACTAAAAATAAAGCATAAGCTAAGAAACCACGTTTTTTCTTATAACCGGTTTTACATTTAAAACTCTAAATACCCTTCCTCTTGCTGGACAACAGCAAACCATACAAACCTCAATGAGCCATACTGTTCACACCACAGTGGGATTCAATAGTCCAAAGAAGAACAAACTGCCTTCCCTTATAAACTCATTAGAGCAAAGCTTGGTATCACCCCCAGAAACCACTTTTCTAAATGTTATTTGTAAATAGTGTATTGCAAAATTACTTATTTTGTTGCATGATTTCCCCTTTTTTAGCTTGCACAGTAACTTCTCATATACTGACTTGCTTTTTGCATTCTTATTATTTTTGTTTTAGTAAGTATGGAAAGAAAATTCTATTGTGAATTTCAGCTATTAGGAATTCTTAGTTGACAAAATCATTTAGAAACAAAAACATACGAAATCTTCTCAAGCATAAACAAAATTCACTGGAATTTTGCCAAATGAATTACTGTAATCCAAGTATTTGTATCTTCAATAAATTCATTCCAAAAAATTCATCTCCAAAAATGGAGAGTATCTGTGGAATAGAAACGGACGTGGGCCACTTTAAACATTATTCTTTTAGCCTGCATCTTTAAAAAAGGGAAAAACCCACAAGATGTACCCTCAAAAAAACCCAAAACCTAAAGTGCCCTCCCAAAACTCTGAGTTGCATGAAACTTACATTCTAGCAGAAGATATCTACTACTTAAGCTAAAAGTATGTTTTTAAAAAGTACATTTCATCACACTAAGTAGTTATATTAGCAATAGTATTATTACTCGTTAAACATTAATAATGTTAATATAAAAAATAATGTAAATATGAAAATACAGAGTAATACGTAATATAGAAAAATACACAGTAGTTCATGAAACAAAGAAATGTTAATTTTCTGGCTTTTTCTTTTCATCTGTACCATGGAATAGGCAGCATACTTCACAACTAACCAGACCAGGAATTCAGTTGTACCAGTCTGCACAACATACATCTTCTTCTACATTCGAAAAACCTCAAAACTCTACTGTACTTTAAAAGCTATTGATCTTGTAGTCCTACTGGGCAGGCCATACTGAATAAATAAGAAATCTCTCAGTACTGGGAAGCATTTCATTTACAGCACATACACAAAAATGTGTCTACATGCATACAGGGTTCACAGTCACAGAATGCTTGAGGCTGGAAAGGACCACCGGAGGTCATCTAGTCCAACCTCCCTGCTCAAGAAGGGTCAGCTAGAGCACACTGCTCAGGATCGTGTCCAGACAGCTTTTGAATACATCCAAGGAAGGAGACTCCGCAACCTCTCTGGGCAACCTATTCCAATCATCTCTCACTACTCCAAAGAAGCCCTTGGGAGCATACTTTAAAACAACAGATATTCCAGGTGGCTTTTATATAGTCTGTGGGCTTTGTCACAGTCATCCTCCTACAAAGCAAGCTTGAACTGTTCATAGTACCCACCTCTATCAGCCTGAGTGGGAGGAGACAGGCTGAAGCTCTACTGGAATGTGAAGCAATTAGAAGTTGAACAGAAAATGTTCTTGGCTCTCAGTGCCAGGACCCAATACTGAACCTGTCTTGTATCAGTCGTTCATTATACTCTGACATAAGACACCATCTGGAACATGATCTCATCTCACTAATCTTGGCTGTATAACAGGTAGAAGCCAATATAGCTAGGTTATGTGCATACCTATGATTCTTTTTTTCTATTACAGATCACTTACTGTTTTCAAAAATGGCAGCTCCACCATGAAAATACATATCTTCAAGCCTATGAAATGTTCAAGAATAATCATGTCCGTATAAGAAAAAAAGACTTCTTCTGACATCTATACGACCACACAAAAAGCCACAAAAGACTGAAGTACATTTTAAATAATGCTGGAGAAGATAAATCTTGTGGGCTGTTGACAGCCCATGCAGGAGGTCACATAAGAGATCAGATCAATCTCAGGATCCAAGTTTGAGCCAGCAACTGTCTTCTCTGCTATAACCATGAACCCCTGGAAAGTGAGGGGAAGATGATGACAACGAGAGAAAACACAGACTAGTAATTAACAAAGCACATCTCAACACAAGTTTGTGTACATTCTTTTCTCCGGGAATATAAGCAGAATTTACTAGTAAGAACAGCACCATTTTTGGCTGCTGAAATCTTTTTTTAGTGTGTATATATATACATACTTTTTTTTTTTTTTTTTTAAGTTCTGCTACAGTCTATGGCAGTGAGCCAGCTCAATCTAATATTCTTCCTGTAGGGAAGGATTAATTCCTCCCATCATGTTCACCACTCTAGTTTGCACAGTGCAAGAGGTTTTGGGACACAATGCCAGGTAGATGAAAGAGATTCTGTATTATTTGGGGACTGATTTGAAATTTACAGATAGTAAGTGAAATTTTGAATTTAACAGGGAATTGAGTAAAATGTCATTATCAAATACATAAATCCTACATGCCATAGTGTGGTCAGTCTATTACAGCTCTTCTATGGTCTTTTTCAGAAGACAGTATACTAGTGACACCAACAAGTTTTCTTGAAAGCCTCCTTGAGTTGGGATGAATAAGGAACTAACGGTATCTGAAGCCAGCAGAACTTTACGGGGACCTATCAGAAAGCCACAGTTTCGAAAAACAATCCTCTACATACAGAAAAACTAAGCTCATCAAGAATTCTTCACCAAGTTTGGGTTAGATATACCATTTACTGGCCAGCTACAGAGAGTCAATGCCCTGAGAAATCCAGAAGCTGATTTCTTCCCTGTTCAGAATTAATGTTTTGCCTTTCCAGAGGTAAATATCCCAAATAAGGATTTTTGATCAAGCAGGTCAGAGACTATTTCATGTTCTCACTTTAGCAGAAGAATTATTCTTCCTGTGAAAGAAATCTTGTATTTGATAAATATAACCATTCATTACCATCAAGTGACTAGGGCAAGAAATTAACATGGGCTGGATTTTTATTATTTAGGAAATTACAAGTTTAGAAGTAAAAACTCACATTAACAAGATACAGACTTTCCACCTTAGTCAGCCTCAGCACAGCTTGAAAGCTGTGTAACAGTAGTACATACCATGTAACTTTATGTGGAGAGTGCCCTTACCCTGGGCTTCCTCCGAAGCCCCTTAACTAAAACGTTACAAGAAACAGACAACAGGAAATTTTCCCACTTCTTATGAACTGGGATTTATATTAACATCTTGGTAGATCCTTTCATAGGCAGGAGGTAAGGAGATATTTGATGAAAAAGAAGCTTGCTTAACAGTCTTAATTTTCCCTATTTATCAAAGTTAAATTGTGTGTGCTGATGAAAGTAAAACAAAACAATGATAATGAAATACCAAGGATTCTCAAGATACCACACATAACTGGAACACATCACATGTTAGCTTAAACCTTTGAGCATGCACGTGGCCAGTTCATGGTGCTCAACTGACACACAGTTAACAGGATCACATTATAGAATCATAGAACAGTTAGGGTTACAAAGGACCTTAAGATCATCTCGTTCCACAACACCGACATCACAACTGAACCGTATCACCCAAGACTCTGTCCAACCTGGTCCTGAACACTGCCAGGGATGGAGAATTCACCACTTCCTTTGTGAATTCTGTTCGCTGGCACTGTTCCAGTGCTTCACTACCCTTACAGTAACCTAAACTTCCCCTGTTTAAGTTTGAACCCATTACCCCTTGTCCTATCACTACAGTCCCTAATGAACAGTCCAGTCCCAGCACCCCTATAGGCCCCCTTCAGATACTGGAAGGCTGCTATGAGATCTCCACGCAGCCTTCTCTTCTCCAGTCTGAACAGCCCCAACTTCCTCAGCCTGTCTTCATACGGGAGGTGCTCCAGTCCCCTGATCATCCTCGTGGCCCTCCTCTGAACTTGTCCTCAAGATAAAAAGGACATGGAACTGTTGGAACACCAGAACTGCACACAATACTCCAGGTGAGGTCTCACAAGAGCAGAGCAGAGGGGCAGGATCACCTCCTTCGACCTGCTGGTCACGCTCCTTTTCATGCAGCCCAGGATACGGTTGGCTTTCTGGGCTGCAAGCCCACACTGAAGCCGGCTCATGTTCATTTTCTCATCAACCAACACCCCCAAGTCCTTCTCCACAGGACTGCTCTGAACATCTTCTCTGCCCAACCTGTAGCTGTGCCTGCAATTGCTCTGATCCAGGTGCAGGACCTTGCCCTTGGCATGGTTAAACTACATAAAGCTGGCATTAGCCCACCTCACAAGCATGTCAAGGTCCCTCTGGATGGCATTCCTTCCCTCCAGCGTATCAAACAAACCACACAGCTTGGTGTCATTGGCAAACTTGCTGAGGGCGCACTCAATCCCAGTGTCCATGTCACCGACAAAGATGTTGAACAAGACCGGTCCCAACACCGATCCCTGAGGGACACCACTCATGTGGTGTCCCATTACCATCATCCTCATGGCCCTCCTCTGGACTTGCTCCAACAGCTCCATGTATGTTGAGGACACCAGAACTGTACACAGTACTCCAAGTGAGGTCAGAGCAATTTATTTTTCCACTCATACAGTTTTAGAGTGATACAAATGAAGGATGAATTAATCTTAAAGAAGTAACCTCAGCTGGCTTCTGCCTTATTCATATCCTTTTGATTGAGTGACTATCTGCATAACTTACTCCATAAGCTTAAATACAGACTGCGAGATATTTGTTCTGTTTTCCAGTGTTGCAAAATGGATTATCAGATTCTGAAACAAGCTTAAATTTTAGGGGTTTTAGGCAGGCATTCCATTTTTGCAGAATCTGACTCCACTTCAAAAAACGTAAAGCTTGGTGTGTGTTTTTCTTAAATGTAGATCAAACAACATACAAGAATTCCATCATCCTTAATGTCACTCAATTCTTTAAAAACATTAATTTAAACTACTTCTCTGTAATTATTCATTCCAAAGTTAAATAAAGAGCCGAGTAATACTACGTATCTTTGTTAAGCTCTTTATGCAAAGTTTTTTTAGCTTTTTTCAGCAAGGTATTGAAACATCACAAAACTATTACCTGTACAACAGGAAATATATGAATGAAATCCAGTCCCTGGATCTGATGTGGTTCCAAACGATGAGGACACTTCATTTTTGGCAATACCGATACAATTTTTTCGGTTAAGGCACTACAATAAAACAACAAACACACGCATGTACGCTACCATTTTCTCTTGTAAGTTACAAATTATTTTTGCAAACACAGTTAGAAGTTAAAAGGTTCCCTCTAGTGGCTTCCACTGTACACAGCTGCAAAAAGCAATCAAACTTCCATTTAGAAAATAGATTTTAATTCTACTATATATATAGTTAGTCTGTGAAGTGGTGATTAAACCCCTAGTGATTTCATTTATAGTACTGCACACAAAATTTTAAGATCTGCATGCCTGGTGAGATAATAATACCTATGTTAGATATATCTACAGACACCTTTGTATATTATAACATACATGAAGAAACACTAGCTTTAAGAACAGTTCTACTAAGTAAATGATATGCACTCAAAGAAAGTCCAGAATCAAATGAAGGACTTAAAAATTTGTTTGGCATAACTCCCAAAATATACCTTGATGTTACTACTGAAATTTTGAGGTTAAATATATATTGCACCTAAAAGCTAAATACACAGTATGCTTCACAGTTTTGAAGTGAGTAAAACTGAATTTGCTGGCAATCATCTTGTTCTAACAGCTCAAGTAAGAGCTGGTAAAGCAAAAGGATTACCCTAACACAAGGGATTCATTTACAAAACCATCAGACTGCTTCCACTGAATCCCTTATAGGGCAAGCTATTTCTCTATTTCTTTGCTGCCAATATTGTCAAACACATTTGTAAAGTAGGTGTCAGCACAGAGGACGAGCACTTTATTGGAAAAACTAAAACTACTTTTCCATGAAGGAAAAAAAATTAACTGGCCCAATACTGACTTCAGTGACATTCAGTACTGCCCAATGTACAACTAATATTCTGTAAGAACAAAGGCAAGCAAGACATGAGGCACAGACCAAAGTCTAGGAACAGAGCCTGAAAAATTATACTTCTAAAGAGAAATAAAAACCTTGACATAATTCTTACAAGGCGATAGATGCAAGATTCTCTCCTAATGCATGTTTCCATGTTTATTTCCAACCCAGCAATTAAATAATAGGACACCATCAAAATGTCTTCAGAATAATACTGCGAAAATACAACCTAACTTTTCCTTATCTTGAGGACATCACAGAAGCACTGAGCCACCACCAATATAAACATTTTAAGGACATCAAAACAGCCTATACTTCCACTCAGAACACTTTAGATTTACAAAAAAATCATTGTTGCTGTTTTGGGAAAGAAGCCTGATTTTTGTTTTGCTAGTTTTGCATCCAGTTAGCTGGAAAAAGAACATTTTGAGAACAACTTAACTATTTCCTACCTTGCTGTTCCTAAGAGTAACAAAGATGGCAATTACAAAAACTTGGCAATTGTAAATGCCACCTTCAATCCTAGTCTGTACTTAATTCTGTGCACTTAATGCTTTATGTATTTAGTCATTTATGATGATTTAATTCTCTTATTAGAAATCTTTATTTATAATGTGCTACAGTCTTGCCAATGCTAAATGACTTTAAAGAAAAAGGCACAGAAGGACGTTATTTTTAACTACATTGAGCAAAAAGCTCTCTTCATGTAACTGTAACTTGACAGGCTAATCTTATTTCCTGCAAATTTTAATTATGGCTCTTTTGTCACAGAAATGTATAAAGCAATAATGTAGTTTAGAATGTATTTCCTTTCTCATCATAAACAACATTTACAACCTCCCTTATACAGGAATTAGCTATCTTGTGAGCAAATTCCATGCATAAGAAATGAATCAATCAAATACGGTCTCATTGGGTCACCACAAAGAAGGAACTCTTCCTCAGTAACTCTTTCAGAAACAGTGTCATGCTTTAAATTGTTTGCTGATGCCTACAACTATAAAGGAAAGCCATAAAGGAAAATCAGAAGTGTAAATAACACAGCAAAACTGCAGAGAGAGACGTCAAGGAAGATCTTTTAATGTTGTACTCCAGTTTCCAGCAGCATGGTCTCCCTCTGCCCTTTGTTTTGGCTTCAGCATCATCCCCTTGTGCCAGCACAAGCATCTGTACAGCTGCATAAAGAACTGGATAGAGGAACTGATTCATGTTGAAACTATATATTTTTTTTTTGTAGGTTTTAATCTGGATCAGTTCCCAATCCAGTTCAAAGTACAGCCCCACAAATACTTTCACTACTTAGTATGGATATAAGAACATGCAGCACAGAGGGAAATAGCACTGTCTTTTTTTGGAATAAGCTTCTTTCTGGTTCTAGAGTTTGTGGAACTACAATCTGAGAAATCCAGAAACAAGTGCAGTGTTTTACAAATAGGTAGTCTTGAAAAACCGGAAACTTGGACTAAATTTTTTTTTTTACAAACAAGCAAGTATTGGCTAACTTTCCCCCCACACCAGCCATTTCTTTTCCAAGAAGAAAAAAAAAAAAACAAAAAACCCCAGCCACACCTACCATTTAACCAACTTACATTTTTTGACCAATAGTAGAGTTTTCCTGAAACAATAAATCAACATCAATATCAAAGCTGCAGGTAGTGATGCACCACGTCATGCCACCTACCACCTACCAAAGGACCAACAGCATAGTTAGTTCCATTTTAATTTGAAGAGGTAAAACCAAGGTACACCTTAAAGGCTTTATTTATTACAGAAACTACAGCTTAGTACTTTCTCCATTCTCAGTATTCTTACATGGAGACTAAAACACACAGAAAGTAGACAACTTCTACATATAATACACATATACAAGATAAAACATATATAGAAAAAACAGCAGTTAGTGACATTCTAAATTCCTCTCTTGCCTTTATGCTAGTTTTGACACAGTTTTCATTAAAAAATCCAAACCAATAGATAAAACACAACAGTATCTTAAATTACATGATCTTTAAAAAGCGACTGTATAAAAATTTTGTCAAGGATCATAATTTCTGTATTCATATATTTAATTTTTATATATAACCATTGCTACTATTATTCTTTGCTTGCTAATATAAGCCACACCAAATGCTAGGCATAGTATCAACATTGCAATGAAAACCACCAGCTCTGCAGAAATTTCTATTTCAGGCGCTATTCCTACAGCTACTTAGGCATATTTAAACTCCCAAGCCATTTCATCAACTTTACATAAATTACATAAATATTTAAAGACAGCCTGCATAAACATATGCAAGTTAACCTAAATGTATGCAAAGGCAATCATAGAAATAGGGATTAAAGTGTGGAATAAATTACCAACATCACACAGCAACTTGGGGTGTTTTATACAAGGTTTTGTAACACATTACCCTTCTCATTACCCTCTGCAACAGTTAACCAGTACCCCTTTTACACTAGCATCTAGATTATTTTCAACAGCAATTCTCATTATTGTACAGGTTGGGTATTGTCATGAAAAGGTAACTTTGCAATTGTATTTAGGCAAGTATCCACCTGATGCATCCATTTCTACACATAAACGCAATAATATTACATCCTAAGGTGGTCTCCTTGGAACTACTTCGTGTCTATGCCCAGTCTCCTGAGCAGGTAAGGTCAGTAATGCCAAGCAGTTTGAAGAAACTAAAATTGCACTGAAAAGTACAGCTGTGCAATGATCAAAGAAATAGCAGAAAGCAGAGAGTCTGTTTCAGGGTTGCTGCAGTTCTGTGTTTTCAAACCTTGGTTCAGGAATTTCTCAAGAGTCAGCACTCAAATGATTCAGAAGTCTCTTTTCGACCTGAACTTTGCTCACTGTAAGTATCACGTAATTCCTTTCTAGGACAATGAAAGGTTAATGTACATAACATTCTAAAGATACTTAAAGCCAGCCCAAAAATAATCTCACTAGGCTAACTCTTCCATTCCTAAACAGACCTCTCAAGACAAGTATTTCCTCATTTCTTACTAATATCTCTTTTTAAAATTACCATTCTATCTCCAATTATCAAGTCTTTCTAGCTATTATAACTGGAGCTGAGAGAGGGGCAAAACTCCCCATATATAACTTAGGCCATAACACCCTAAAAAAACCACACCAGCAATTAGTTGCATCCAGTTGTCTCCTTTAAAATAGGCCTTGTTACACAAAATTGTTTTTCAGACTGAGCAGTTCCTATCTGTCTGAAACTGGGTCATTTGCAGAATTATTTACATAGAAAAGCCTCTTATGTTGCAAGCGTCTTCTTCTTTAAAGTCACCTAGAACTGCTAAACTACCCAGCAAAAGAAATCTAATCCTCATACACTTAGGAAATTAAAAGAAATACCGCACTGGTCTCACCTTATCAAAGGGTGATAACCCTTTGATTCTGGCTCGAAAATACCCAGCGGCCACCAACAGTTCCAAAATTTCAGTCAACTTGATGTTTTGTTCCTCATCTTCTCTTGTTTCAACCTGACAAACAAACAACAAAACACTAATTAACTGTTTCTCTTTCATTCTTTCCATTAATATTTTCCAAACTTTATCTTAACACAAACCATACATCAGGGAAAAACTTTACTTCCATTAGCAACTGGGTTGTTAATTTGAAAGATGTTAAAGAAATAGGCAATGCATTTCTACATGGATTTAACAACACTGTTTTTCCACCCAGTTAAATACTTTAATCTGCTTTCGCTGTTCAAACTCCTGGTCTACTGCTTGCCTCCAGCTAGACAGACTGCTACTATTGTTATAAGACAATTTATTCTCCTTTTTGCACACTTGTTTCAATTTCAGGGTTCACAAAATCATACACCTTAATTTAACACTTCTATAACTTTTTTACAAAAACATGAGAAGTTCATGTGGAATTCCACTTTTTGGGTAATGCAATTTTAAGCAAAGTGCACCAGTAACAAAAAAGTAAACTCTGATGAGCAGCCTAGATAGTTTCAGTGCTCCAAAGCCTTATCAGCGCAGCAAGACTGTAAAAGCACTTTTGTCCCCACGTTACAGGATGAAACCCTACAGCTCCAAGAATATATATGACTTACTCAGACCCAGACAAGAGAGACATCTAACAGGGCTTCAGGTCTCCCCTCCGAGGCTGCAGGGATGCGCGCACGCACACCACACACCACCATCCTCTTCCCCAAAATCTTTTCGACAGCCTCCTCCTCTCCTCTCCCTCGGAAATATGTAAAACCTCGCAAGTGGGGACGAGGAAACGCCATGGTGCGCAAGAAGTGACCAACACAGGCGCTGCCCACAGCCCCACAGACCCCCCCCGCGGGAACGGGGCGCATAGGAGCCCGGCTCCCCACTTCTCGAAGGACCGCCCTCACGGGGCCGCGGGCCGCACGCGCGGAGGGCCGAGCCCGCTCAATAGCCATGACCCCCGGGTTCCCGGCACAGCACCAGCCGGCGGGAAGGCGAAGAGGGGAAGGAGCAGGCAGCGAGTCCGGGGAAGCCAGGGCAGCGAGGCCGGAGAAACAGCGGGCGGCCGCGCCTCGCCAACGCTGCTCAGCCTAACGTGAGGGGCGGGGGGAGAGGGAGGCTGGGGGAAACGGCGATACGGTACCTCCTGGGGAGCCTGGTACTCCTGTCCCCTGGGGACGACCATCGCCCTCCGCCTCCGGCAGCCTGAGCCCGGCCACTCAGCCTGTCACGTCCGCTTCCCCCCTGCCGCCGCCGCAACGCCCGGGCGAAGAGGTGTTCCCAGCCAGCGACTGCCGGGTTCCCCCGCCCCCGCTCAATGGTTCGCCCGCACCCTCCCTGCGTACAAGCGCATCCGGGCCGTGCCATTCACGACCAAAGGGGTGTGGGGGAAGGAGGGCGGGGGTTGCGCGGCTCCCCGGCGGCTCATGTGACTGACTGCATGAAGCGTAACCTCCGGAGAGCCGTCCCACCCTCACCCACCAGTGCCCGCGGGCGGCGGCCCTGGGCGCTTCACGGGTTATCCCCGTGCCCGCGGCTGCGCCTGGGCCGCGGTGGCAGAGTCCGCGCACGGCCTCTTCCCGCCCTGCGGGCACCCGCTGGTGCCGGGCTCTTGCTTCTGTTCTGCTGCCGGTCGCCCGTCCTTCTCTTTTTGTCTTTTGCAAGAGGACCTGAGGCCTCGCACTGGCACGGAGAAGCAGCTACTGAGTGCTCTATGACCTGAGAGATCAGCCTCGTGACCCACAGGGTGCTGACACTCATCCATAGCACCTGGGTTTCGCTTGATCACCTAGCAGCTGAGGGGGATTTAACTACGTGTCTCTGTCCCCATGCTCAGGACCCTTTGCGCCCCCTTAACATGGTTCTACCTCAGCCTTGGGGCAGCAAGCGTGTTTTCGGGCCCATGTATGAGGGTAGCGTTGTTGGGAAGGTGAGCACCTGTTTGCGTTCAGGGACCAGTTATGCTGGAGCCTGGCCTCCCATCGCATCTTCACCAACACTAGCAAGCCCTACAGCATGATGAGTGTTCATTGGTAGTGCCAGTGTTAGGAAGGGATGTCTGTGCCCAGACACCATTTGGTCACTAACACCTGTAAAATTACACCAATGCACAAGCATTTATTGGGTGATCACAGTCTGGTAGTGAACTAATTCACAGCTTGGCAGCAGGGTAAACTTTCTTGTCAATGGCAGCTTCGGAAATAACTGACAGAGGTCTCTTTTCACACCTGCCCCATGTGTTCCATTTCTAGGCTCCTGGCCATTATAAAAAATAAACTGTGTAAGGCTGTGGCTGGAAACATCTCAAAGAGGTGAAGAAACAAGCCACGCAAGAGCATTGTTTCCATCCGTTGAAGGGCAGCAGAGCATACCCAAGCCAGTCCACACCAACTGCTGCCCTGACAGAGTAATCAAAACAATAATAATAAAAGCAAAAATATGCCAGGCTGGCCCAGGCTACATACTGGTGTAACGACAGGCCACGTCTTAATTAGAGTTGCCGAAAACTGTTATGCTGCCCCACAGGCTAATATGCTCACAAGAGCAATACTGCTTTCTGCTCTTTGTCTTCCTTCTCACAAAGAACTGTATGGCTCTAATTTGATTGGCATGCAGAGGGAGACTCAAACAAACAAGGAAATAAAAAACAGGGACGAGAAGAAGGGTTGAAACAGAAGAGTGTTAGGAAGGGATGTACGTGACCTTCAGACACAGTGGCCAGCACAGGTTATAAGATAACTACTGAAAAGAAACATCAACTTGTAAAAACGCTTCCTGAGCCATGATACGGTTATAAGACTCTTTTTCAAAGCAACACACTAAAGAAAAAGGGTAAATAAAAAGCCAAGGGTAGTATAAACTAGGGGCTTAAGTAGTAACTGAGTATTAGACAGGGTTTGAAATTATATACTTGCAGAAATGTAATAGGTTCTTTTAATTTGCTTTTTGTCTATGTGACCGCAAGGAATGGAAACATTTTTCTCCTTTACAGTGAAGACTTGAATGTTCCTTCACCTGGTACATGGTTAGGAAATGAAAAGGAAAGACAGGAAAATAATAAAAAAAATGTATCTGTTGTCATTGCAACTTCTATTTGATGACTTGAACCTCAAATCATTGCTTCCCAATACCTAATTGTTATGCAAATTGACCCTGTTATCCAGACAGAGGCATTGTCCCCTATTACATTCAGATAATCAATTTTCTAAATACTAATTAGATTTTAAAATGGTCCCAAGAGGGGTACCATCTAAAAAAGAAAATCCTCCCTTCCTTCAGGTCTTTAGATTTTGTGCTTGCAAATCTCTAGCAGGTTCAGCTTTTACTTTCCCTGCTCTGTTTTGATCTGTGAAGGTAAGCAAGCTCTGGTTCTTGGTACAGCTGCTTTGAACAATCCTGTCTTGATTTCTGAATTTCATTAATCTTGACCCCATGAGGCTGGGCTAAAGAGCTTCCTCCCTTTTATTATAACCCCATGATTTTTTTAGCTGTTCAGCCTGGACTTCTGACAGCATCAGACGGTTACAACTGAAAATAGGTTTCAGTGTATCTTTTAGCACATACTTGGTTTTTCTTGTAACAAGAATTAAGAGATGTGGTTAAAACAGCAACAGCAAGGGCTTCACTCTTTGTTGGGCAGGCACAATTAGATGAATAAATAGACAGACTTTAGTAATTTTCCAGTGTTTCTATGCTGAGAAGGTCTAAAAGAATCTATTTCCATAAATTCTGCATGATAGGTAACGGAAGTATAGCTCCCTGTGCAATGGTCCTTTGTACAGCATATTTTTGTTATGGCTAAAAGTTCTTTTATGTATACCATAAAATGAAGTGTCATGGATAGATCTTGGGAGTAAATGGAAAGAATCCCACTGAATGCACTGGACTATGGACTTCAGTAATGCCATGACTCCATCTTCTGAGTTGTATGTCCAGCTACAGGAGAAGCTGAAGCCAACTGTAGGGGACTGAACCCAGTTCCACAATCAGTTTCAGTTTTTGCATTGTTTTCTGCTGTTCATCTACTGGACAAGCTCTGTTTTCAACCTATTTTGTTGTCTGGCAGCTCCAGCACAGAGATAACTTCCTGATCCCTAATGAAATGACTCTGCCATGACGATTTCCAGATAGATTTCTGGAATTAGCAATACTGCCAGGAGCCATATCATCCTCTGTGTACATTTATTCTTTTTTTTTTAGTTGTTGTCTTGATCATATCCCTTCTGCTTACAGTTATTCAGCTACTCTTGATCTATTGTTTGAGATGTAGTAGATACAAGAAACCAGTAGGCAACTGCAAATTCCCAATTATCATCACTGAAGTGAGACCGTGCACTGTGAAATGAAAAAGTCACAGACCTGTTACAGTAGCCATTGTGCCAGAGGCTGCAGCAGAGTGTTGCATCCCATCGAACACACTGATATTTTTTGCAAGGTATAGTGCCATTTCAGCAGTAACATCTAACGTTAGTGATTTTTTAAACATGCCCACTATCACATCCATTGATGACATCTAGAAGGTACAGTCCCACAAAGATCCTATTCAGTCTCACCTCTGAACGATTCCTATTCACAGCATTTAGTAGTTTAAAACGTTCAGGGAGACAGGAAGACATTTTTCTTGAAAATTTTGTTTGTGTAATTTTTAGTATTTTTTTATTAAGATTGGCAATGAATATTTTTGGCTCACTCACCAAGCTGTTAGTTTATCCCAAACATACACAAGGCAATCACGAGTAAAACAGGAGGGAGTAATGGATGAGAAAACAGAAGCAGCTCCTGTTCATGGTCACCTTCCTGGTGATGTAGTTAGCAAATGGCCAAGCGATAGTTCCTTTTTAAGCAGAAGGAAAATGGAAAATTTTATGGCCTGTGGAATTTCTAGAGGATAATACAGTCCAATAGTGAAAATGCTGATGTTCTGGTAAAAAAAAAAAACAAAAACAACAAACAAGCAAACAACCAAACAAACACATCATGGTCCATATGACAGAAGTTGGCAAAATTGGTGACTGGTCCTCTCTCCAGTTTCATCTATGCAAGCTCTTTCATAGCAGTCTGTCTGAAGAATATGAGCATGTTATAACTAAGTATCTGATTAATACTAAAGTTTTTACCAGACTTCTTTCACTTTTGGTCACATCCCTCAAAGACTGGGGTCAGAATATGCAAGTAACTAGTCATTTGGGGTACTTCAATTTTTGAGAAACTTTACGAGGAGCTTGATTTTCAGAGAGTGCCTACTGTGCCCAATTTGAAAATCAGGCTGCTGAGGAGTTTCTCAGTTTCTACATGGGTACACGTTGCAAAGTCCAGTTAAGGACAGGCACAGTACACCTTGACACAGAGTAATGACTCATAGAAAAGTCTGTTTGGGACAGTGCCATTACACATCATCTCTTCTGAAAGTCTTGGGTCATCTGTAGCTGTCACAGTCAAGAAAAATTAAGCTATGGGAGAATTAAGGTTTTTTTTCTGACATATCATCCATGGAACAATTAAGTAAGACTAGTCATCAGGTCTTTACCTAAGATAAAAAGAAAATGAGAACAGTTGCACTTTAAGGGCATCACACAGTCCTCAATTTGGGCCAGGATATTAAATTTGAGATTGCAGCTGTGATTATGACATAGCACTGGGAAGAATTTTTTTTTTTATTTTGATTTTATATTTAGACTGGGCAAATCTGATTTGGAATTGTTGGAAAACAAAAAGCTCAGGAATTTAAAATATACTTTTAAAAGGTAAAACTTTTCCCAACAGAATCACACTTTAAAATTTATTTGGTGTTCAAAGATTAAAAGTAGAGAGGTTGTTGGATTGCTGGCTGTCTTGGAACAAATCCTTAAGAAGGGGCAGAGAGGCATATATTTTCTCTGTGCCTTTTTTAGGCAAAATATATGGATTTAGACTTTACCTTCTTTGTGTCATAATAGTATGGCACATGCTCCACTTAAAATAGTTGTTAAGAATGAACAGTTAAGTTCTGTGACAGAGTCAGATAATTTAAAACAGTAACAGACTTCTTACACATACATCTCACTCCCAAGAGAAAGAAAATCTCAAGTGAAGGTGTTTCTTTGGCATTTTCTTTCACGTCAATTTTTGTGAAAGAGAATTTAAAAGGCACAGAAGTAGTAAGATGAACAAGAGAAACTACCAGTGATGCAGAGGTAGAAAGGACAGAAAGATAGAGATACAAGATGAACACTTGAAGTGTAACCTTGAAGAGAGCTAACCAAAATGGAAAATAGGCTGAAGGCTGCGTGGAAAGGCATGTGAAGTACGGAACAAAGACATTTCCACTTACTTGATTTCTGTTTTATTCCAGTAAACAGGACTTCACCATTTCTGTGAATTACAATCACTGCATCAACAATTTAACTTTAGAATAATCTGCAGCCTTTTGTGATGAAAAG